GGCCCTAGCCGACCCCAACCAAAGCCGTGCAACCGAAGAAGAGCCAACAAGAGGACCTATCCTCCGCTGCAGCTGCAACTTACCAGTCACTGGAGAAATGCCGTGCAGCAAGCAGAGGCGGCAATCTGCAGGTTGCACATTCCTTGCGGAAAGCCGATTAAATGTGCAGTGTTCAAAATGCCTGTTGGTTGATTATAGGGGATTATACTATACCCATCTATACCCATTAATATATTGGGGAGCTTGTGAAGTATTCAGCGAGACATATTTAGTGTCTGAAAAAAAAAATGGGGGGAGTATAGTAATCCAATGGGGGAATTCCCATAAAGCAACCAGTAAAATGGAACGATAGAGGGATTTATTTCACACTGCTTAAATGAATGAAGTGGAGAAATTCCGACAAAGCCGCTGGCGACCAGAGCGAACGTCGGCCTTGTCCCTAGCTAAGTTTCTTTCAAAACCGACTAACATCGTTACAATGTGGGGCCCCCTAGTTATAAGTTGGTTTATAATTATAAACCCCATTAACTATAGTTACAAGTACCATAAACCATATAGGTATTGGAGTTATTAACCAACTTAGCTATCTTGGAGGCTCCACATTGTAGGGGTCATGGTGGGTATACCGGTAGTCCATGGGGTTTCGAGCAACCTTACAACTGGGGGCACCACTTTGTATTTTGCATCGTCATGGGCTCTATCCTGCAACATTCACCATTTTTGTTGCTGGCTAAAGGGCTGACCCCCAGTTTTATTGGTTGCACCGTGGTATTCCCCATGACCCATACTGAATACTATTCTGGAGATAGATTTCTAGTCTTACTGGCGCTTAGTAGGGAATGAGGGAATGATCCACAATAACTACCAATAAACAAATTAATATCTGGTTGGTGGTTTGGAACAATTTTTATGTTTCCTTATATTGGGAATAATAGCACCAACTGACTAATATTGTTTTTTTTCAGAGGTGTTGAAACCACCAACCGGATATAAATTAATACTATCTACTATCTTTATGGGCACCACCTTGTACTGAGGATTATACCCGACTGAAGCGTAAGATGATCAGATAGATGCAGCAATTCATAGGAATTGAAGCCACCAGCCAGAAGGGCTGAACAGCTAGGAGACTCCTGAACAGACAGCACCTTTTATTTTGTATCTTCAACGGTCGTCAACAACCCTTGGAATAGCCTGAATCATCCATAAACTCAGCAAACTTAGCCCCATGAACCATGGATAATATATGATCATCTGCCATAAACCCTAATTAGTTTAGGTAAAACAATAAACCAACCCCCAAATCACCATTTTTCTGGTGTGAACCATTCCCAGTCATGGGTGGCTTATTGTTGTTTTACCCACATGAATCGACTTCAAAGCCACCTTGGCTAACCCAGGAACAACGGGCCATTGGCAGCCGAGCAAGTTTGCGCTGCTACTCAGGTGCCACAAAATTACCGCACCGGGGATTGCAGGTTTTTGTTTTCCAGGTCTGTAGGTTAACATTGGCTGAGTTTCAGAACCCATAGGATCCATGTATGGTATATATTCTATTATATGCTAACATTGTTTGGGTATATTGATGGTAAATCTTACCATATATAGCATACACGGATCCTATGGATATGGATTCTTCCATTCTTGGTGTTTCCACCGGTTATAGATAGAGGAATCAAAACCTAACGCAGTTTCTAAGCCTTGCCATGGCTGCCACGTGAGGCTTCGCCGCGGCCGGTGGTGAACAGGAGCTTCGTTGCGAGTGGCCTGAGCCACATGTGGCCGGGCAGGCGCCATCTCCTCCAGGTTACCAAAGGCTGTTGGTTCCCTAGGAAAAGATCCAAGAATGTGGATAGTCCTCATATATCAACTCGTTGGTGGTTGATGACTTATTATAGGCAGGACTACCTGGCTTATGGATGCTTATGGGGAAGTATTGTAACATTTATAAGCCACACTAGGTCAATATAGATATATTTACTAACAGGTTGGTGGTTTCAATTTTCTCCATATATTGGGAATAATAACTATAATAACCCCAACTGACAAATTCATATTTTTCAGAGGGGTAGGTATACCACCAACCAGTCAATTTTGCCTTGGAAATCATCAAAACATGGTGGCTTGTATTCGAATGTCCGTATATTTACAGTATGTTAGTTCTTGGAGGATATGCGTTGTTCTTGGACATTGCTTTAGTCAACGCCATGACCCGCCAATTTGTTCATGCCACGTTCCAAGACATGTCTTTTGGTATGAAACCTGATGAACACGGGGATGCAAAGGATGGACATGGGCATCACAACACGTTGCAATACGCCAAGCACATCTAATCACTAGTCGGTTTCAATATGTTTCAGTAATTTTCCAAACACTTTGCTAGATTTTCCAAGAAATATATATTGAAAACTAAGAGTGCGGCATGCACCACAAAAAAAATGGCAACAAGCTTTGATGGCCCATGGAATGACAGTTCAAACCGGTGATCGTGAGTGGGTTATAGCAGTTGCAACCCACGAGATATATCCAGCGATATTATGTTATGTTACAAGGTGGTGCCCCCAAGTTATGTTTGTTGGTTTATAATCCCATTAACTAGTTCGATATATCTACCATAAGTCGTATAGTTATTAGAGTTATAAACCAACTTTGCTATCTTGGGGGCACCACTTTGTAGGGGTTGCGATCACCAGCTAACTAATTGACTATAGCCAATCTTATTTTCGACAAGTTTACCACTTTTCCGAACTAACTATAAATAGCCCCCCATTCGATAGGATTGGGCTATATAAATGGAACTGTATCCCCGAAACAGTTACGATCACCGGTAAACTAAAGTCGCTAACAATGTGGGGCCCCCTTGTAATGTTTGTTGGTTTATAAACCCCATGAAGTATACGTAGTTAAATGTATCATATAAACCATAGTTATTGGAATTAGGTTCACCAAGTTAGCTATCGTAAACGGGGCCCCACATTGTTACCATGGTTCATCTAAGTGAATTCCCAACGTCCAAGCGCGAAAGGTTGCAGGCTATGCTGAGTGGTTCAACCTCTCCTCGCTACCTGCCAGTGGATTGATGTGCCGTGAAAGGCGTCGTGGCGACGCGATATCAGATTTATCGGTTGGCGAGGAGGAAAACATGTAAGGGTACAAGCCTTAAATTTAACCACTGGTAGGGAGATTTCATGATTTTGAACATGGTAAACTTGGAAAGCGACCAACAATGGGGAACATTTAACAGGCCATGGCTATTTATCCAAATTCAGAAAGTTATTTTCCACCTGGTCAATCTTACATGGGTAGTTTAATCCTTTAGTCTTTTGGTATCAATGGGAATATCTACGTTCACCAGCTAAGAATTTATTTGTTTGCAGGGCATCTAAGATTGTCAATGTCCAAACCTATTTCCATAGAGGATTTTCCCAGCTGTAACTCTCCATTTAGTTCGCCAAGTTTGATGAACTACCCGGCCTGGCAAACGTTTACAAAAAGGATGGAAAGATCCACCATTTTTGAAGGGGAAATCCACTATTTCGACTGGGCAATTTTCAATAGCTATGTAACAAATTACCAGAGGGTAAAGTTTGAAATCCCAAGTTTGGGATGGAACATGTTGATACATGTTGGACACGGACCAAGGCCGGCATTCCCGGGTCCCAAACTTGCGCAACAAAACATACCCTGGTTCATGAGTTATTATAGGCAGGACTACCTGGCTTATGGGGGATTATTACAATATTTATAAGTCACACTAGGTCAATATAGATATATTTACTAACTGGTTGGTGGTTTGGAACATTGTTTATTATTCCATTCAGTTGGGAATGCCATCATCCCAACTGACGAACTCATATTTTTCAGAGGGGTAGGTATACCACCAACCAGTGAGATGGAACAGGGGTATTTTTTGTTGGCCCATTTGACAGAAGATGTGTTTGGAAAGTCGGAATGCTGACCTGGACCGACAACTCAGCGGAGCGCGGTCATAGCAACGGAGCATTTTTTGGGGGAAGCGATGTGTAATTTCAATGTGAATTTTGTTTTAACATAGAGTGCTCCTAATCCGCTGTAAATACATGTTAACAAAATTGAGTTAACGAAATGGACATGTATCCCAAATGGTACATATACATATCCATACATGGAGCATCTGGGTATGGTAAATCCCCCTTAAATTCATGTCGTCTTTTCAAAAACGGCCATTTGAGGAATCCATCCGTGTGAAATCTCGGCCAGTGAGGTCACCGTAAATATAAAAATGTTCGTCCCAAAAAGGATGTCGTATTTGTCTGGGCGATCTGAATTTAGACATCCAAATTCTCATCTCATTTCATCTCATTTCATTTCCTCTCATCTCATCTCAGCCCATGTTCTCTCATTTCCTCTCACCTCATCTCATTTCATCTCATCTTATCTAATTTCACCCCATGTTCTCTCATTTCCTGTCATCTCATCTTATTTCATCTCATCTCATTTCATCTCATTTCATTTCCTCTCATCTCATCTCAGCCCATGTTCTCTCATTTCCTCTCATCTCATCTCATTTCCTCTCATCTCATCTCATTTCATCTCATCTTATCTCATCTCATCCCATGTTTTCTCATTTCCTTTCATCTCATCTCATGTCATCTCATCTCATTTCATCTCAATCCCATGTTCTCTCATTTCCTCTCATCTCATCTCATTTCCTCTCATCTCATCTCATTTCATCTCATCTTATCTCATCTCATCCCATGTCTTCTCATTTCCTTTCATCTCATCTCATGTCATCTCATCTCATTTCATCTCAATCCCATGTTCTGTCATTTCCCCTCATCTCATCTCATTTCATCTCATCTCATCTCATTTCCTCTCATCTCATCTTATTTCCTCTCATCTCATCTCTTTCCTCTCATCTCATCTCATCTCATCTCATCTCATTTCCTCTCATGTCATGTCATTTCATCTCATCTCATTTCAGGCATTGCAAATCATTGTGGGAAGCTTCACGGGCACTCATGCGAGTGAAGAAAGATCATGGTTTCAGTGAGACTTCAACTGAAGGGGGATCTAGAACCCGTGAGGGGATTGCTCTTGACGCGACTGGGTATTCCTCGCCTGCGATGGCGTGTGGGATGTGAACAGCACCAATGGCGTGATGTCTCAGGTACCTGGGCTTCAGCAGATACCACCTCTCAGAGAGACCCATTCGACGATGGGAAGGGGGCCTCCTCGTGTGGTGGTACGAGGAGGACTTGCTCCACCCGAAGGCCGCCGCCGTGTGGCGGCCAGAGGTTGGGGGGTTGGAAGTGGTGGCCGCTTGCGCAGCGCCTGGCCTTGGCCTCATGAACTCTCTCCTGGCCGCGTTCAAGGACTGCTGTGACTACCATTGTGACTGCTACTGCCACTAGTATGATTATTTCTGCTATCACTGCTGCTCCTTCCTGGCGTTCACTACTCTCATCTCATCTCATGTCATCTCACTTTATTTCCTCTCGTCTCATTTCAGTTGAGTTGATTTTAATTTGTTTTCAATTGATCTCAACTCACTTTGAATTTTGTTTCAATTGACTTCAATTTACTTTCAATTGATTTTTAATTGATTTTCAATTGATTTCAATTGATTTTCAAGTTACTTTCAATTGATTTCAATTTACTTTGAATAGATTTAATTTTATTTTCAATTTACGTTCAATTGATTTTCAATGGATTTCAACTTACTTTCAATTGACTTTTACTTGATTTCAATTTATGTTCAATTGATATTCAGTTGATGTCAACTTAGTTTCAATGGATTTTTATTTGATTTCAATTTAGCTTGATTTTTTCAATTGATTTCAACTTACTTTCAATTGACATCCCATAGTAATCCCATAGAAATACCGTAGAAACATCATGGAACTCCCACAGGAATGCCACAGGAACCGCATAGGAATCCCAAAGAAACCCCATAGAAACAACATAGAAATACCATAGAAGTCTCATAGGAAACCAATGGGAATTCCCATAGCATCCCTTTAGAAATCCCATAGAAATCTTCTACAACTATCATAGAAACATCATGGAAATCACATAGGAATCCAATGGAAATCCCATAGGCATCCTTTTGAAACCCCATAGGAATCCCATTGAAATACCATTGACAACCCATAGAAAATCCCATAGTAGTCCCAGAGAAAAAAGAGAAAAGTGTTAGCAAAGGAAAGGAACAGTCAAGGAGAGAATGATTTTGGAAAAAACTACTTCCAAAAAAAATCTGGACACAATAGAGGACCACCACAACAAACACACTAGTGAGGATCAGGGTTGCTCATGGACTACTACTTGAAAAATTGTTTGAATGCTGTTTTCTAATTTCGTTTTAATCAGGCATCGTAATTTTTTGAATTCCAAAAGCATGGAGCTAAGAAAGTAAAAAAGAGAAAAGTATTAGCAAAGGAAAGGAAAAGGAAAGGAGAGAATGATTTTGGAAACATTTTACTTCCAAAAAAAAACTGGACACAATAGAGGACCACCACAGCAAACACACTAGTGAGGATCAGGGTGAATCAGGGTTGCTCATGGACTACTCCCTTGAAATATTGTTTAAGTGTTGTTTTTAATTGGGTTTTAATAAGGCGTCCTGTATTTTGGGAAATTAAACATTTTGAGAATTCCAAAAGAATGGAGCAAAGAAAAAATACTTCACTTCGAACGATCCCCACCATGGCATATATAGCTACATTCTTCTGACATTCTATCTGGCATATCTTCTGACATTCTATCTGGCATATCTTCTGACATTCTTTCTGACATTCTTTCTGGCATTCTATCTGGCATATCTTCTGGCATATGTTCTGGCACTCTATCTGGCATATATTCTGGTATTCTTTCTGGCACTCTATCTGGCATATATTCTGATATTCTTTCTGGCATATCTTGTGGCATCCAGAACATTCTTTCTGGCATATCTTCTGACATTTTTTCTGGCATTCTATCTGGCATATCTTCTGACATTCTATCTGGCATATCTTCTGACATTTTTTCTGGCATTCTATCTGGCATATCTTCCGACATTCTATCTGGTATATCTTCTGACATTTTTTCTGGCATTCTATCTGGCATATCTTCTGACATTCTATCTGACATCTTTTTCGACATTCTTCCCGTTGAGGTCCGGCAGTGCCCACTGCGATCTGAACGTCGCGGTTGAGGTCCGGCAGTGCCCACTGCGATCTGGAAGTCGCGGTTGAGGTCCGGCAGTGCCCGCTGCGACCTGGAAGTCGCGGTTGAGGTCCGGCAGTGCCCACTGCGATCTGCAACTCGCGGTTGAGGTCCGGCTGTGCCCACTGGGATCTGGACTGCGAGGAGGAGGCGGCGGGTGAGGAGGCGGAGGAGGAGAACAGCTCTGATAAAATCTAACAACCCTCACCTGGCAGGTGGGGAAAAAGAGAAGTATTAGCAAAGGAAAGGAACAGGAAAGGAGAATTATTTTGGAAACATTTTACTTCCAAAAAAAAAATGGACACAATAGAGGACCACCACAACAAACACACTAGTGAGGATCAGGGTGAATCAGGGTTGCTCATGGACTACTCCCTTGAAATATTGTTTAAGTGTTGTTTTTAATTGGGTTTTAATAAGGCGTCCTGTATTTTGGGAAATTAAACATTTTTTGAATTCCAAAAGAATGGAGCTAAGAAAAAAAAGAGAACAGTATTAGCAAAGGAAAGGAAAAGGAAAGGAGAGAATGATTTTGGAAGAAATACTTCAAAAAAACTGGACACAATAGAGGACCACCACAGCAACCATATTTTTTTTAGGATCAATATTGCTCATGAAAAAAAAACTGAAACAATGAAATACACATTTCTTCAGACAACAGCTGGACACAATAGAGGACCACCACAACAAAGATATTAATTATGTATGTAGGATCAAAATTGTTCATGACAAAAAACAAAAAATATTGACCAAACAAATGAAAAATAAATCATTATTGAAAAATACAGAAAAATTGAGATAAATTAAACAACAAATTAAATAATGTTTTTAAACAATTTAAACAAATAATAAAAAAAAAACGAAAAATGATCCCAAACAAAATCAACAAAAGAGGCCCACCACATTAATCAGAATCCCACATTAATTGACAATGATTTCCCATTCAAATCGGTTGATTGAAAAATGTGGTCTGCCCCAGATGTTGATAAATCATCAGCACCCAATGTTCAGACACACCTAATTTATATTTACTTATTTTACCATATTGTTGTTACTTAATGCCTGCATGTATTCCAATATATCAGTTAGATTCTTTTGCAAATTCCCCATACCTTTGCTTGACTTTGTTGATTAAACACGGTTGTGCCCCAGTTCGTTAGCTAAGTTGCTTTAGTTTGCTGGGCTGATTGTTGGTTCGATTTGTGATAAAATAACCATAGTTAGAGGGTTAAAAAAAAACAACCAATTTAATTAGCGGAACACCACCCACCTTCTGTGTTTGTTTTTCTTTTAATCAGGATGGGTCAAAACCTACAAAGTGGTTTCCCCAAGATAGCTAAGTTGGTTTATAACTCTAATACCTAGGACTTTTGGTACTTATAACTATACTTGCTGGTGTTTTTAAACTAACTTATAACTGGGGGGGGACCATATTGTATCATTACCATATTTGGTGGGATAACCATCCATTAACCAGAGCTATTTCAGGGTACCTAGGGCCCTAGGGTTTTAATTAATTAATTGTAAAGCACCAGACTGAGAAGGTTCTGAACTCCCGGGATCTTTGGCGCCCACTGAAATCCTACTTCTATCGGAATTCCATGGCACTCCAAATATATCGGAATTGCATATGTCTATAGAATGTGTCTATACTATTTCTATATCCCAAATCCCTACTCAATCACCATCACCATGTGTTGTTTTAATGATGGACCATTACATCACCATTAAATCACCATTAAATCCGTCTAAATCCCAGTGATCTTTGATTAATGATCTAAATCACTAAAATCACCATTAAATCACCATTATATATTTCACCATTGAATCACTAAATCATGGGTGAAAGTTGGGAGACTTACCCTACTTAGATGGGCCATGGGAATAACTAAGTGGTTAGTAACTGGGGATTTTTTACCCTCCAAAAATCCCAATCATCAGCCATTTACTAACTAGTTTTCCTTAACTCCATGGTCCATCAATATTAAGTGCCATTAAGTCCCATTATTAAGTCCCATTAAATCACCATTAAGTCATCCCATATATAGAAGGTGACACCATGGCCCATCTAAGTACAGCCCGCGGCGTTTTTTTTCCAATGCCCGTGGCGAGGCTGCTCTGGTGTCCGGTGCCTCCTGCAGTGCCCTTTGGACAGCTGCTGGCGCGCGACTGGCGGCGACAGGCGGGCCAGCGGATCGGAGACAGCGGCTGTAGAATCCAAATCTTTGATGGTTTAACCATAATTTCCTCGTTACCATGGTTTTATAGTGATTTAATGGGATTTCATGGGGATGTTATTCACCAAAATGGCAAATGGTGATTTAATGGTGATTGAACACAATGTGGGCCCCCCAGTTGTAAGTTGGTTTCAAAACCCCAGGAATAGTATAGTTATTTGCGTACCATAAACCATAGTGAAATTGGAATCATGTTCATCAACTTAGCTATCGTTTGGGGGCCTCAGATTGTAGATGACAATGGGGCACCATCTTGAAGAGTTTAGTGGGATTCAATACTAACAAACATAACCCAAGGGCCTCAAGGGTATATCACTTTGCATGCAAAGGTACTCATGACAGAACTGTGAAAAGAGGCACTGCAAAGGCACAAATCACCATCAAGCGAGGCTGTACAAATTCTAAGACTCTGCATGTACAGCAGTACTGAGAAACCACGTTCAATTTGAAATTCATGTTCCAAGCGTCGTGCTTCAAAGACGTTCCTCTTCCTACATTTAGAAAGCCCTGGTACTCTGCTGAATATCAAAAATAATTGCTTCCTCTGGATGTGTTTCCCCCCAAGAAGATTGCATCATAGATATGTACAATGTGGGACCCCCTAGTGATGTTTGTTGCTTTATAAACCCTAGTAACTATAGTAATAAGTACCATTAACCATAGTGAAAGTGGAGTTATGTTCACCAACTTAGCTATCGTTTGTGGGACCCACCTTGTAGATTTATTGAATAATACATGATAGTTTTCAACTGTGTCTTTAACAAATAGCAAACCATTCCCCAAGTCACCATTTTTAGGGTTGGTATAAACAATCAAAAAAATCGGGTGGTTTATTGCTGTTTTAGCCATAGGCAATAAATGTTAATAGATGTTCATAGATGTTAATAGGGTAATAAAGCAACTTGTAAGGGGGGGGCCACATTGTAGATTTATTGAATCATACATGATAGTTTTCAACTGTGCATTTAACAAATAATAAACCACTCCCCAAATCACAATTTTTATGGTTGGTATAAACCATCAAAAATGGTATAGTTTACTGTTGTTTTAACCATAGTCAATAGATGCTAATAGAAGTGGTGCCCCCGGTCGATCGCTAAGTTGGTGAACATAACCCCAATAAATATGGTTTATGATACTGCTAAGTATAGTTCATAGGGATTATAAATGTTTATAGACCAACTTGTAGCTGGGGCCCACATTGTAACATACCATAATATCGCCAGATCTATCTCGTGGGTTACAACCGTTATAACCCACTCACGAAAGCAATCCCATGGCGGCGAAAGCCAGGTTGGCAGCACGGAAAAGATGGCCTGTTTGAAGGGTCACGTAGGGGAAACTCAGGGGTTCGCTCAGGGACGTGGTGGTTCACTGCTGAGAATATCTGGGTAAAAATGGGTGAATGGTGAAGGACTAAGTTCTGATTGCTAGATTTCATCAATATTTTCATCACATATTTTTTTGTTGTTGAAATCCTATGAAATCCCCATCTGGTTGCTGGTTTGGAACATGATTTTTTTTTCCATACAGTAGGGAATGTCATCATCCCAACTGACGAACTCCATCATTTTTCAGAGGGGTAGGTATACCACCAACCAGGAGTTATATGGAATAGGATTTCTTTGGATGTTTGGATTATAGTTTATTTACCCATTAAAACTAGTGATTTTCCATAGATATGTTAGTTTACCAGAGGGTACGTTATATGGAAGTGGATTTCTTTGGATCTTTGGATTAGTTTTGTTTGGGTTCATCGTGTATCCCTGAATCCATTGGTTTACCAACAGTGTCCCTAAATCCAACATGGCCATTTTGAGGGTGTCCCCATTGTCAGAACACCCATATTTAACTTAGATGGGCCATGGGATTAACTAAGTGGTTAGTAACTGGTGATTTTTTACCCTCTATATCCCAATTATAGTCCATTTACTGACTGGTGCGTTAGCACCGAAGGGTTGCTGGATGGGTTGCTGGGGTTGCTGGGATGAAATTGATAGTTAGCCAGTGGATCCCGAAAATTCCCTATGAACTAAGCACAAGTAATTTTCAGAACACCCATATTTGCCCTCTGGTAAACTAACATAGCTATTGAAAATGGCCATTTATAGTGGATTTTACCATTAAAAACGGTGATTTTCCATGGTTATGTTAGTTTACTGGAGGGTAAAACGTATGAATCCTGGTCTTTTGAAAAGCATCCAAGATTAGCCACGAAAAAACAACGACCAGGAAAATTGGGACAGTTGAGGTTTCAACCGAAACCCATCAACATGGGATATGTGAAGCGAGGATATCATAGCAAACAACACCGTGAAAGTCTGTGCGAAGGCAGTTGTTCGTAACTATCAGCATTCACCCATGTATATAAGGATATTAGATCTGATTGGTGGTTTAGAATATTTTGTATGTTCCATAATATATGGGATAATCCTTCCCATTGACTAATATTGTTCAGAGGGGTTGAAACCACCAACCAGATAATAGATGATATTAGCTTATCAGCTTCGGGTCGGTTTCATGATTCATGTTTGGCTAATAGATGCCAATAGTAATCCCGCATTCTGGCTACTCAAATCCTCAAGTCCTCAGTACGTGAAATTGATGGTCGTCAATGATCATTGCTTCACCATTTCGGGTTGTGTATACCCTGCTGTTTCCTATTCCACTGGGGGAATTGATCTTTATTGGTTACCATCACTTCACCCATGTCATGAACATGTTCAAACAAAACATGAAAACTGGTTGGTGGTTTGGAACATGTTTTAAGTTTCCATATATTGGGAATAGTAACCCCAACTGGCTTTCATATTTTTCGGAGAGGTAGTTATACCACCAACCAGAAAATGTTTTTTTCCATGAAATCCTGGTAGAACAGAATTCCCAGTGAAATCACCCTGAAATCACCCTGGCCAAACATGAACGGAGCAGAGAAGTTGAATCGACTCGAAGAGCTGCACGTGGCGAATAGCCTGGGGCGAATGCCGAACAAAGCCGGGGCGCAGGACTTGGGCCTCTTCTTTGGATTCCTCAAAGCCCTTCTTAATGTCTTGAGGATTAAACCACGTGGGTTATGTTGGCTGGCTATTCCTTGCAACAGCTTCCGATGGATGGCCTTCAGTCAGCTGCCGCAGTGGAGTAACCCGTATGGATGCCCTTTCTACCCATGGGTTCTGCAGGGAAACTTGCTTTGTTCACGAGCTTGCCTGCTCATAGCAGTGTCTATTATCCGGGGTGTGACATGGTTTGTGGAGAACCCTCTGCGGTCCTCTATACATACCTGGCCTTAGCTGAACTATCTGATGTACAACACCTGGTTGAACTCGAAGCTGCAGTGAAGAGCCGTGTGCCAGCCCCCAGGTATTGAGTAGTCCCCAAGTATGGGGTAGTCTTGCATTAATTTGTACAAAGTGGTGCCCCCAAGATAGCCAAGTTGGATTAGAACTCCAGTAACTATGGTTTATAACTCCAATAACTATGGTTTATGATACTTATAACTATAGTTACTGGTGTTTATAAACCAACTAACATCACTGGGGGGCGCCACATTGCAGCCACCACGAGGAGCCAAGATGTGAGTGAATCACGCGATAGTAGGACGAGCTCTCTCCCCCCCTTTGGTTTCACAGCAGACCGGGAGAACAGGGGTTGTGCTGGTGGACCGCGATTGCTACAGGAAGGAGCGGGCTAAAGTGACAGTGCATTTTGAAGGGGATATGTATAAAGTTTTTGCCAATGTTGCTTACAATGTGGGGCCCCCTAGTTTTAAATGGTTTATAAACCCTATTAACTATACGTAGTAATAAGTATCATAAACCATAGCTATTGGAGTTATAAACTGACTTAGCTATCTAGGGGGCTCCACCTTGTACGGGTTAATGGTATTCAACAGGAATGGGCTTTACTTGGCTGAGTCATAACCCCGTCGCTGCAACGTCACTGGCAATGATGAGACTTGCGAGGGGGATCATCCCTTAAATGTCTTTAGCATCATAGTGAAGTGTTGAAATACGATATTACAATGTGGGTCCCCCAGTGATGTTAGTTGGTTTATAAACACCAGTAACTATAGTTATTTGCGTATCATACACCATAGTTATTGGAGTTATTCGCACCGGCTTGGCTATCTTGGGGGCACCACTTTCTATTAACATCTATTCACTATAGTTAAAACAACAATAAACCGTCCCATTTTTGATGGTTTATACCAAACATGAAAATAATATCATTTTCATTTGGGTGTTTCATCCAACTTGTTTGGATAGTATGGTGCTTTTATGTTACAATGATTTTTGCATAAAGAATGGTCGCGAAACAACAAGGGTAATCCGCAATATGTATTGATTGGGATTTACCTTACAACCGCCAGACCATGATACATATCATACATACGTATATATATATATATATACGCATCATTTTCAGATGCACATCAACCGATCAATTTATTTATATATATATATATAACTTGACTCCAGACTGCATTGGATACAATTGCAACGCTTAATATATTGATGATACAAAGTGGGGCCCCTGTTTACAATAGCGAAGTTGGGGGCCACATATCTCCAATTTCACTATGGTTTATGGTACGCCACGCAAATTACTATAAGTACATAAAGTTAACTGGTTTACTAATTTCACTATGGTTTGTAGTTACTAATATATTTATAATTTGACCTACTGGTGTTTATAAAAAAACGTTCACATAACGTATTGGGACCCCACATAGCAGGACAGAACTGGGATTCCAGAAAGTCATGCTGTAGCGGACTCCTCCACCCACATTCCGCAGCTGAGCGACAAGAAAACACCTTATCATCAGTGCACCAGTTGGGAACTTGGGAACTATTACTGTACAAAGTGGTGTCCCCAAGATAGCCAAGTTGGTTTATAACTCTAATAACTACGACTTATGATAGATATATCGAACTAGCTAATGGCATTATAAACCAACTTATAACTTGGGGGGCACCACCTTGTAGGTACCTATGAAACACTGTAAATAATTGTTTGAAATGGGAAAAACCATCTACCAACTGGTGCAAGATTTCTTCCATCCACCGTATGAGCAGTGTTCAAAACCCCTCTTGGCTGATGATTAGTTAGGGGATTGTACTACCCTTTATATATTGGGGATGATAATAATCCAAGAACGGGGGATCCCGATCTGAACCAACCAGTATTTCATGGAATGATAGAGGGTTTTTTCACCATGCGATGGTAATATGGATTTGATGGTTTTCATGAATTCAATCTTCATGTTTTCCATCAAATCCTATTTCTATTTAGTGCACTTTTTCATTAACGGCAGTGGGTGCAGACTCCGGGGGTCAAGACCCCATTGACTCGCCAGTTGTTTGCTTTAAACTTCACCGAATCATTTACCCTCTGGTTACGACTAACATACCAATGGAAAGATCCACATTTTGTTAAGTCATTTTTAAGTTTGGTAAACCATCAATTTCTATGGGCCATCTATACCATGGCTATGTCATCCATAACCACAGGGTACTTCTAGATTCTACATAAATCCCATTTAAGTCCCATTAAATCCCATTAAATCACCATTTACCTATTACTTCCCATTCTGTGGGTCATTGGACCTATTACCTCATCATAAAATCCTTTAAACTCACCAAAACTTTGCTCCTTACCCCCTTGTCTTGCTTCACACCCCGTGATTCATAGGAAGACCTCCGCGTTTGCTCCTACTAAATCATCAGGTCGGTTGGGTAACATACCATTGAACTCCATTGAATCATCATTATAGATGTCCATATTTCAAGTATTCTGTATAGTGTATATATATATATGTAAATATTACATGTTATATATCATATACAACAATTATAATATACTACAAGGTTTTCCAGAAAGTCATCATTTCCCTAAGTCACCACTTCCCAGAATAATCAAATAACATGGATATTGAATATGTTATCTACAATATTGAATATGACCCTCCCAGTTAGAAGTTGTTTCATCAACACCAGGAAGTATACTTATATCTACCATAAACTTAAACCATAGTTATTGCAATTATAATCTGACTTAGCTATCGTAAACGGGGGCACTTTGTATTGTATCAATTAATCATCAGTAGATCATCACAAAATCATAATTGACAATCCCATTGATACCAAAAAACTAAATGATTAGTTTCTACCAATCTAAGATTGACCTAGATGGGTCCATAATTATTCCCATGATCTTCCGTTTGTTGCGATCCCATCAAACTCCTCAGATCACAAAGTGCCCCATGCCCCCCAGTGATGTGAACGTTGGTGTATAACCCCCATTAAAACAATTGTTATTTTGCGTACCATCAACCTTAGCTATAGTTATTTGCACCAACTATCAATAACTATCAGTTTTTTAGTTGGTGCAAACCCTTATTCTATCAGCTATCAACCATTCTTATTTGGAGTTATTTGCACCAACTGAACGCTATCATCAATCAGCTATAATCCCCATGGAAATCCCCATGAATTCTTCTGGGTTTTCCTACGACTTTTCCCATCTACAAGGTGGTGCCCCCGGTTATGTTGGTTTATAACTCTAATAACTAGGACTTGTGGTAGATATATCATGATATATCTATAGTTAATCGGATTATAAACCAACTTATAACTTGGGGGCACCACCTTGTAGCTATGAACGTTTGGACTCATGATAGATATATCGAACTAGCTGCCATGGGATTATAAACCAACGTTCACATAACTTGGGGGGCACCACCTTGTACGATTAACACAGAAACTTGCCCACCTGTGCCCCATCTGCTGACCCCTTCAACCCCAAGGTCCAGCTCCTGGGTGACCTGGACATCGTCTGCGGCACGCGCCAACGCACCGGCACCTGGCTGGCCTTCGACGGCACAGAGCAGGTGCCCGCGGCCTGCATGGCGCTGCAGCGCCGCGGCGTTGAGATGTCTGGTTGCTGCGGAAAATTGAGGATTTCACCATCAAAAATGGTAGTCTTATGAGCAACAAGTTTAAGTGAGTGGGTTTTTTCATGATATTTCATGGTGGTTTAATGAGATGTAAGTAATAAAGGGTTTTAATTGTATGTATCACTTAGATATTATTGGGAATGCAGCGGTTTAAGCAGCAAAACATTGTGATCTCACGGGATATCATTGTGGTTTGATTGTTTATTGTGATCGAATGGTAGTTTAGCAGCCATGCATGGTGATTTATGGGATTTAATGCGGATGTACTGGTGATTTAGTGGGATTAATGGGCATTTTGAGATTTAATGGCATTCATGGTAAAACATACAGGTAAACAGTACGGGTGGTTTTAATTTCATGGAAATTGAATGGGATTCAAGTAACCAAGATTTTCGTTTAATGGCAGTTGACAATATTCGAATGGGCGTATGGTAGGCATTTGGGATTGGATGTGCACAAAAAATGCGGGCACGATGGAATATATGACCAACACTGTTTGGTGGATACGTTTTATGGCATTTAACCAATAAACACAAGATAATTTGTGGGGTGCAGACTTAAGTAGATTATATCCTTGAATGTGAGTGGGATAAGTGGGGATAGTCCATGTATGACTGGAGTTCTAACCCACTTCCTACCTGTTGTGAATCCGAATGTATGGGTTCAACCAACATAGAATGTGGTTTCATGAGATTTACTGTAATTGTGATTCAAATCGGATGTAAGCAAGAAACACTGTAATGAAATGTGATGTACTTATATTTTTTGGGTCTAATTCATGGAATTGGGGAGCCCAATCATTTGAAGCACTATGAAAACAGCATGGGATATAGTGGGATATATATATAATATAATATAATATAATATAATATAATAAAATATATTTGCACACATTGGAAGACGCAGGTATATGGGATTTAAGTATTTTAAGTAACAGAAATTGTGACTTCTAAGTCTTGGCGAAAAATATTGAATCTTGATTTGTTTTTACCTACACGTAGGGGCTCTGGTGACAGCGAATCCGCAGTTTGTGTTTGCCATTTTAGGAATACAATCTATGCTTCAAATTCTCGTCAAGCATTTCTTCGTTGCAGTCCTTCCGTATGAAGAGGTGGAACGGTGAAGAACTTAGACTGGAACAATCAGGGGAGATGCATCGTTAGCCCCGAGGCCAGCTACCAGCTATAGGCCAACCATCCTTCACTTCAAACCCTTGCCCATTTGAGCCATTAAAATACCACAAGTCACCACGAAACCACCATAAACATCCTGAAATCACATGTTTCCAGTAAATTCCCATTTCAATCACCAGCACGCCCCCCGTCAATCATACAAACCACTGTCTAAGTGGCAATCTAAATCACCGTATGTTTCATTATGCAGGTCACCCGAAAATCATGTTGTTTTCCATGAAATCCCCATATCAATCATTTTGAACTCACCAAATCATCATTTGTTTTCCTGAAATCATCATTTCTTTCAATAAATCACCATATAAATCAGTAAATCACCATTTTTGTTGCCTAAACCACCGTAAAATTACAATTTTCCGCCGCCAAAGTCCCCCCCAGTCGTGCCAAGGAACTTCTGCCCCGAGCTGCAGCTGTCGACCTCCTTCGCCCTCGCGGCCAGCCAGGGCCGGGCGCCTGGCAGCGTGGTGCAGCTGAGGTGTCGCGTAGGCGCGGCAGGTCTACAAGGTGGTGCCCCCCAGTTATAAGTTGGTTTATAATCCCATTAACCATAGATATATCTACCATAAGTCCTAGTTATTAGAGTTATGTTCACCAACTTAGCTATCTTGGGGGCACCACCTTGTAGGATGAAATTCCTGGAAATTCTGGGGAAATTGGTGATTTAACATGGGAAAATCATGGATCACCGAGGATTTTCTACAGCTAGCATATCATCCCCCTCAACCATTTCACAAACAATATGGGCAAATCATGGAAAATCTTGAAAAATCACCAACAATATGAGGGTTATATATGGTTATATGGGAATGTAATGGGTGATGTGCAGACTTTCGCAACGACAATTACTGCTTGGTGGTTTTGAACAGGAATCTTATTTTCCACAATATAATTATGGGATAATCCTTCCCATTGACGAACTCATATGTTCAAGATGGTTGCAACCACCAGCCAGTTGTGATTTTATAGGGCCTAACTATGAAAAATGGTGATGTTCGGGAATTTCATGGTGGTTTAAGATGGTGGTTTTGATGATGAACTTGTGATGATCTACTGGTGATTAATTGATACAATACAAAATGTGGCCCCCTAGATAGCAAATTCAGTTTATAACTCCAATAGCTATGCTTCATGATACTTATTACTATAGTTAATAGGGTTTGTAAAGCAATTTATAACTAGGGGGCACATTGTTGGAATAGATTGGTGATTTACAACTTACAACTTGGTACAAACTGCTGCCCCAACTGTTTGCTCAGTCAGTTCATAAATGGGTTTACTGTTGGGTTCGTGATCTGTTTTTCTACAGTGAGCCGCATTTAAAAACTAATTTGTAGAATTTAGTAGGTTCTTGTCAATGCCTGCAAATGGTGGGTAGAAGAACCCTTTCAAAATGACGAGTGTTTCTTGGTAGTTGTGGCCCATCATAACGGGAAATACCCATAAACAACTCACAGTTGGAGAATTACAGGGTGGTGCCGCAAAGTTACGAGTAGCTTGATTGAGCCACTAGTGTTTCTGATAGATCTATAGCCGCTTGAGGTCAAGTGGGCTTACAACCCAAGTTGCAACTGGGGAGGACTTCAAGGTAGGTGCTTGCGATTGCTTAAAATCCGTATATATATAGCCTGATCAAAATCTTATGTTTTTTAATTCGTATTGCCAATGATCCTGATTATGAACAATGATCTAGTAAAGGCCCAGCACTACATGCTCCATGTATGACAGGATCACTGGTAAGAACAGGTCAGTCGGTCAGTCATTCTAGGTGAGTTCCATGGTGCTATGACAACCCAACTACTTGAATACATCAATGATGTCTTTTTGCAGAAGTCCATGGCCACTGTCTGACTGAGGAGGTACTTAACTTTCTAGATCACACCCCAGTCCCACTTCCTAGGAAGGTACGGCTGGATCCATAGGGATATGGTACAGCAACTTACTAGCTGAAAAAAATGTTCTTGCTGGACTTGTTTTCACCCTAAGACTGGCGTTTTGGTTTTCATAAGCCAATCGTTTAAGTTGAGTTGTAGCCCCATGTTTGCTGATTCCTCTCTTTCATTGACGCCTACAATTCCCCAATCCACTTTTCTGGCCATAGATGATGTTTTATGTGCCTTGCTAGTCTCTGCATAGCCAGCAGATAATTCAGAGAGGCTAAGTTATTCCCATTTTTTTTAATCTTGTGGCCATGCAAAGATAGAGAGAATAACAAAATTTGAACCAATGCAATGTGGGGCCCCCAGTGATGTTTTTTTTTTTTTAAACACCAGTAAGTTAGTATAGTTATTTACGCTTACCATAAACCGTAGTGAGTTATTGGAGTGATTAGTGGCCCCTGACTTAGCTATCATAAATCAGCTATAAATCCCATGAAATCACCATTTTCCTATGGTTTGCCTATGCTTTTCCTTTTGATTTTGGGGTCTTGACCCCATTTGTTGGTCGCCTTGATGCGAGGATTGATCCCCAGCAGTGGAGATTCCACCTTGGTGTGCCGTGGCGAAGACCATGGGATTCTTGGGCCATGGGAAGCGGATTGATTAGCGATTCCTGGTTACTAAGTTGGGTTATAACTAGGTTAACTATGGTTTATCGTACTTACAACTATAGTTAATGGGGTTTATAAATCAAGTTATAACTACAGGATGGGGCCCCAGTTCGTTAGCTGAGTTGGTGAGCATAACTACAATAACCATGTTGTGTATGATACGCAAATAACTATATTTAGATGGGGTTATAAACAAACTGACATAACTGGGGGGCCCCATCCTGGTTAGTAACTGGGGATTTTTTACCCCCAGAAAAAAAAACGCTATTCTATCATCGGATTAGCGATTCCTGGTTAGTAACTGAGGATATAACATGATATAACCCCCCAAAAAAAAACAATGAAATATATATATATATATAATCCATTTACTTAACTAGTTCACTAACGCCATGGCCCATCTAAGTAACCAGTGACCTTTTCCAGATTCTCCGATAAATAATATGGAGGTTTCCGTAGTCATGAGGGTTCCCAATAGCTGGATGGTACCCAATAATTTGGAGGTTTAAGAATGGAAAACCCCAATCTAAAATGGATGAGAACTGCGGGTACCTAGTTCCATTACTTGAAAAGATCAAAGCTTGCAGAATGCAAGGAGGATGTTCTGCACGGCAAGCACAGCCTGTGGCTCACTGTACGGACCGCTTTGCGGCTCACCGCCTCTTGCTGCAAGCAACATATGCCAGAATCTTCCAAGATGCCTCTGTCACTGTAGCATCCGACACTCCGAAGGGGGCAGCCAGAGCTTGTCATCCTGCAGAAGCACCGGCTTTGACGACCATCACCGGGGACCCACTGCACAACTTGTTGAACCTGCAGAAGAAGGTTTCTTACTTCTGCCCAGACGCGCGCAATTTGCTTGCAGATCATGGACATGCCATGGCGAGACCCTCCGCCGAATCGTTGCCACTGGATTTGGTGCTCGAACCTCACGAAGTCCAAGAGCTTCCTGACGCTTGTCACGAGCTTTTGCTGAGTATGGGTGTACGCTCAGAGAACCTCATCGCAAATTGTGTGGGAAATCTGGGTGCCCCAACCTTTCTCCATACCGGCGCTGGCTTTCTTCTTAGGTTCAGTACGAAAAAAACCCTGGATGTATGGTGCTGTTTGATATAAGTGAATTAGGAGCTGACGAAGGGGAAGGCTCATCTTCAGACGTGATGCTGGCTTCTTTCACTCGGAGTTCACCCATACTAATATGTTTTTTTTTTTATTTTTATATAAGTTGTTTATATTCAGCATATAAGTTTTTCATAAGCTGTTTACAAGTTGGGTTAACTTGGGTTAAGTTACTTTAAGTAAGTTATAAGTATATATCATTAGTTATACGTTACTTAAAGCAACTTAGACCAACTTATGCGACTTAACATGTTTTACTTAGGTTGGAGTTAGATCATACTTAGGTTTGACTTAAGTCTAGTTAGCTATTGTTGCATTTTTTGTGACAAACAGCTCTCAGGACTGACTTTCTTTGTAGCTATTTGGGGGAAATCTGTTGGGGAAACCATTCATGTTGGATCAAACACCATATATGACATGGAAAGGATCAAAGACTGCAAAACAGAACATTTTGCGTCTGCATGGCATGTCGGCCAGATGTCGGCCAGCATTCACATTTAACACGTTCGCAGCATGTCGGCCTGCATGTCGGCCCTGCTAAAGTAATATTAAACACCATATTGCAGGTTTGCACACCGCGTGTCGGCTGGATGTCGGCCAGTGTCGGCCATGAGATTTTCTCTGCAGCCACTTTTTTGCTCTGTGCAGACCGAAACCCCACCATGAGATCTATGAGCCAGTGTGGTGGCCATCACCTTCCTCTACTAACAAAACCGCACAAAACCAAAAGCATGCGCCAGCAAAGGGAAACCACATTTTCCAAAAAAAGCTACTTAGCTTCAACTTAAGATGAACTTAGTAACTTCGTTCTAAGTTGTCTTAAGACTACCTATCTTAAGTTCACCTAAGTTCACTCTAAGTAACATAATTCCAACCTAATTAAAAAAAAAACGTATTAGTAGGCATTGGTCATGGGTGGATGAAGTAAGTACGTTGAGAAGCAAGCACGGTGTACTTTATAAGGTGAATATAAATATCATCATAAAAATTATATATATATATATATATATTATACTGTTATTTGTGCATCTTTGTACTTAAGGTGTATGCATATAGTTTTGGTTTAAATATATTTGTTAAAAAGATAATGCCACTTAATTCTGTAGTTGTAGAATAGAGCCTTGCAACCACCAGGTGCGGCTCCGACGGCGTGTGGCGCAAGCCCGTGCACAGCCTGCCGCAGCCTCCTAGCGAGGTCTGGACCCTGGATGATTGGTGGTGAAATTGTGATTTTATCCAAGACAAAACGGTGATTTCATGAGGCTTCATGATGATTTGACCCGGATAAAAATCCAAAACCATGGTGATTTTTCGTGGAATTTCATGGTGAGTTCATGGAAATTTCACCATACCCTTGTTGATTGGTTATACCACCAGTTGATTGCTGATGAAATGGGGATTTTGCCAGCAACAAATCGGAGTCTTATGGTGGTGAATGTATTAAATACATGGTGATATGGGGGTTTCCATAAATGGCAGTACCCCAAAAATGGTTGGATTATAAGGGAAAATCCCATTAAAACCGATGATTTGGGGGTATTCCCATTTCAGGAACTTCCATATAGTTGATAGTGATGGTTGATTGGTTAATCTGTTGGGAGTTATGATATACCCAATTTATTGGAGATTATGAGAAATCAACCAACGAGTATTTCATGAGATGGGGCCATTGATAATGATGATAATGGCTCAGGTTTTTTACTATAGTTCTTTACTTTGGGGTCAGGTGAGGCCAGGCAGCGATGTGAACGTTGGTTCCTACAACATTGACTAATCAACCCATATTACTGTAACCCGAGTTAACATGACACATAGTGTGTAAGTGTATCCCGGAATAACCATGTCTTATATAACTAGCCCTATATCCCCCATCAACCCAAACGTTAACCAGTCGTGAACTGTGTGTCAACATCGCGCTATCTTGCTGAGGGCCCCCCTCCTGGGATAAAGACTCGTAAACTAAAGTGGCTATGGAACATGCATGAAGATGCCAAGTGATGATTCACCTATATCAGTTGGTGGGAACAGCGACTGCTGCAGAATCGCTCGCCTCCCCAAGGGGAGTGGATACCGAGTACGCGCGTCTTCTGGAGGAAGACCTGAGATGCACGAAGCGTCCCGTCGTGGATGGGTTGCGAGCCCTGATCCCGGAAGCAGAAGAGCTCGAGGCAAAAGTGAAGCGGCTCGAGGCATGCTTGAAGTTGTACGATGTGCCGATTTGGGTGTGGGAGGACCCTCCAGCAGGTGTGGCCGTCCTGACTAATCAGGGGCTGGTGTAACCCCAACTGTGCGATGGATTTGGATCTGGGACTGCCGGTGTCTTTTGGATGCTGCAAGCAAGGTCAGAGAGCTCACGTTGTTGCCAACTTACTCTGTTGGGATCCAGCGCATGACTCACACATGTTTCACACTTTTGAAAGGTACAACAATTTCCGATGCCAGTGCTTTCAGTTGATGATGACACTAGGGTGTTCATGCATGAAAGGCCTTCTTGGCAACCTCTCCATGAAATAGAACTTGGTGCTGGATTTGGAGGTATGACTCAGGGAATGCTGACTTCTGGATTCCATGCCGTAGCTGCAGTTGACCAGAATCAAAAAATGATGCGACTGTATAGCCAACAGGGTTCTGCTGAAAGAATCAGGGGAAATGTCAACAGCCTTTCTTCGCTGGTGAAATTGTGGCCAGTTGTAAAAGGTGCAGGTGTTGTGGCCGCTGGGTTTGCTTGCCAGCCTTTTTCGCTTTTGGGGGGCCAGAGGGGAGGAAGTGATGCTCGAGCCATGGGTGGGGTGGGGTGGGGCGCGTGTATTAACGTTCATGTGAACTTGCAGATGAAGTACATGCTACGCTTTTGCTGCCGGCAGGTGCATGTATTCATGGGTGGGGTGGGTGGGGTGGGGTGGGTGGGTGGGGTGGGGCATGTATTAACGTTCATGTGAACTTGCAGATGAAGGACATGCTCCGCTGTGGCTGCCGGCGGGTGCATGTATTCATGGGTGGGGTGGGGTGGGGTGGGGTTGGATAATAAGGTCCATGGCTCTCTCTCTTTCATAGGTCTTTTTTCCCTACTCTATGTTCTCTTGAGCTGTGCACTCATGGGTCATGCTATAATACAGTATGTTCTCTTGAGCTTTGCACTCATGCGTCATGCTACGCTACTGTATGTTCTCTTGAACTTTGCATTCATGCGTGATGCTACGCTATTGTATGTTCTCTTGAACTGTGCACTCATGGGTCATGCTACGCTACTGTATGTTCTCTTGAACTTTGCACTCATGCGTCATGCACACTATCGTATGTTCTCTTGAGCATTGCATTCATGCGTCATGCTACGCTAGTGTATGTTCTCTTGAACTTTGCACTCATGCGTCATGCTACGCTACTGTATGTTCTCTTGAGCTTTGCACTCATGCGTCATGCACGCTATCGTATGTTCTCTTGAGCTTTGCTCTCATGGGTCGCTACGCTACTGTATGTTCTCATGCGTCATTGTACGCTGCTGTTTGTTCCCTTGAACTTTGCACTCATGCCTCATGCTACGCTACGTTCTCTTGAACTTTGCACTCATGGGTCATGCTAAGCAACCCTCCGTGATACAATATGTGTTCATGTGGTGCTGGCGTTCAAGCTTACAGAGTCCAGATCCTAAAAGGTTCTTGGAAGAACTGTGGGCGCTGCTCTAACCAAAAGACAGCTAAACACATGTGACGACAATTTTTTTCAGGTTGGCCAGAAAACCAAAAAATTGTAGTTTCGTGTAGGCGAAATCACTGTTTTCGTTCTACTGCTTGTGAATCAGGGGTTCACGACCTTAAAAATAAATTCACTCAAATTCTTATTGGCACGAGCACATCAAACATGATCAACAGCATCCCATTGATCAAGAAAAACAAGGCCATCTAAACGCTGTGCTCCTAGTTTAATTAGGGTTTCTGGTGAGTACAACGTTGGTGGGCTGAATATAAACCAACAAACATATGGGGGGCAGCACATTGTCATATTCCGGGTTTGCAAGCGGCTTGTAGCTGACCGCTTAAGCCCAGTTATGAGTTTTAGGTAATATGATCATTAACATATATTTCATTGATGATAGTTTTTGAGTCCTTTCTGAGATCCTCGTTTTTCATCACAATTAAAATTTTGGTTTTGAAAAACATCCCAGCAGTAGGATGGTGCCCCCCAGTGATGTTTGTTGGTTCATAAACCCCATGGATACTAGTTCGTTATATCTACCAGAATTCAGCCACTGAAAAAAGGCAACTGAACGCATGATCGTAAACGTGGGCCCCATCCTGTAGAGACATCCCAAAACATTTGGTGGTTTCCTAAGATAGGGGTACCCCCAAATCATCAATTGTAGATTAGAATTTTCCATGAAATAAACCTACCAGCAATTGGGATACCTCCATTTATGGAAACCACCATATATCACCAACTTGATTTTTGATATTTGAGACTTACTGAAATCCTCATTTTTCACATTTTTTCAAGTCTTTGAACAACTTCCCAGCCAGGTCTTGCAATGTTGGTTTATAATCCCATTAACTAGTTCGATATATCTACCATAAACCCAAACGTGAAATTAGAGTTTTGTTCACCAACTGAACGTTTTTGTACACGGGGCCACACATTGTATGGTTTTCCTCTGGTTTCCTCTGGATTCCTATGGGTTTCATCCCAGCCACAAGGTGGTGCCCCCCAGCTATAAGTTGGTTTATAAACCCCAGTAACTATAGTTATAAGTTACAAGTACCATAAACCATAGTTATTAGAGTTATAAACCAACTTAGCTATCGACCGGGGGCACCACCTTGCAGGAAACCATAGATTTTCCGATTTTCCCATGAAAAATATGGGGATTTTCCCTTGCAGGTCTTACAGTGCAGCATCAACCCGCTCTTCTGCCCCGATCCGGGTCCTCTGCTGGAGCTGGGCGCCAGTCTGGTGGGAGCCTTCGAGGCGGTGGAGTCACGGGGAATGACTTCCCTTCCATTTCGTGCGCTTTGAGGGGGGATTTCATAGTGATTTTAAAGGGAGCTAATGAGATTTAATGGGGATTTAATGGGATTGAATGAGATTTAATGGGGATTTAATGGGATTGAATGGGATTTAATGGTGATGTTCAATGATTGGCACGGATTTGACCAAGAGAATCAAAAATTATTTAATGGAATGTCATCAAGAAACCCTCGTGACCCTCGTCACATGAAGACAGGAGGATTAGTTTGGCAAACATCTTTGGATGGGTCATGCCAGCTATGGTTGTTCCAATCTGAATCTGATGATTAGTTTGATGGAATCTACAGCCATTATATGGAGCAGTTAACCAACAAACATGGGAAGATCATAGGAATATTATGGACTTATCTAGGTCAATCTTAGATGGGTAGAAACTAATCCTGTAGTCTTTTGGTATCTGGCTGGGAATATCTACGTTCACCAGCAAAGAATTTGTCATTTTTTGCAGGGTATCTGGCTGAATGGCAATGGAATGGAGGAATGCATGCATAGTCATGTGCAAACTATATTGATGTGAAAAGCTGGGTGGCAGGGTTTTGCCCATAGCCATGTACATCCATTGACGGGAAAACTATAGTTCGGAGAAAGTGGATGTGGAACTGACGAGAAGGCAGTCTCAACTTGGTTCATACTTGGTATGTGATGCTTCATAATTTACTTAGTCTCCACAATATAACACCAGTTTATCACCATTTCTTCACTTATAGCTACAGTGATGTTTGTTGGTTCATAATCCTAATCCGCAAATGGACTACTCTAGTGTTAGTTATGTTAGTTTACCAGAGGGTAAGTACCTTCCCAGACAGCCATGGATCCATAGAGCAGAATATAATATGGTATCACTTGTGCAAGACACTATTGATCTACTCTTAAGTAGTTGGGCTGTCATAGCACCATGGGTTGTATAGGTCATTTTACTTTAAAACATCAGAGTTGAAGTTAAAACCAGTGTTAGTTGTCACTGCAGGTGAGTTGTCGGCTAGGTGAGTACGGTCCTCACTGGAGGCATTCCATCAAAAAAGCCCAAGACTTTATGACCATAAAGAATCCATTAAAGATACATGGGCGAATCCATTCAAAAACAATACACTTAATGTGAGGTTCACAATTGGAGTAATTAGACAATTTTGAAGTATACCAAGTTATATTCAGTTTCATATAGAACCATACCATGATATACAATGATATACATTATTTTTTGTATATTTTGTGAGCTCAGATTTCAAGCGGGCTCCCCCCAAAAAAAGGTCGTTTCTCCCAAAAACATCGCTGCCAGATGCACTTGAACGCCACCGTTTCGGCGACCGGGCGCTGATTTTCGGGGGCGTGGCGCAGAGTCTGGGTAAAGTTGGTTTTTGAGTAGATTCAATGATATTCGATGGTAATTTCAGGATCCTAAAATGGAGGTACGTTAGTACCATATTAAGGCTATATTTTGTGGGGATATTCCCTTACATAGGCCTAAACAATAGGCCTTATATGTATGGTAGGTACCTCCAATTTAGGGTCCTGAAATGACCATTGATAGATTGTCCCAAACTTTACAACACATGATGTATCAAGCAAGAATCAATTTATAGTAAATCCAACTTCGGTTTACAATTCCAACTTTGTATCGTGATAGATTGACTAGAATTGTTGACTACAGGATGGGGCCCCTAAGATAGCTAAGTTGCCTTATATTTCAGTGGCTGAATTCTATGGTTTATGGCAGATTCGGTAGATACAACGATATAACTGTGTTTCCTAGTGTTTATAAACCAACTTATAACTGGGGGGGCCACATTGTAGAATTTTTACGACCAATAATCCATCAACTATCAACCAAGAGTTTGGAATCATAAACCCGATAGGATTTATCTAATCTAAATTTATGTAACTTGACTGGTTGGTGGTTTGGAACATTTTTTATTTTTCCATATATTGGGAAGAATAATCCCAACTGACTTCTATATTTTTCACAGGGGTGGGTCAACCACCAACCAGTTATGTAAATTGAATAATGTTGATCTACTGTTTAGATTTATCATGAATTAAGTAGCATAGATGTCCCAAATTCCCATTGGTTGATGAAAAAGGGGGGGTTCTTCAGGTTTACCCTTTAACAACAGGTCAATGATGAGGGTTATTCAGGTTTACCACTTTAACAACAGGTTTGTTTGTTGATAGATGGGATTAACCAGCTCCCGGCCCCAAGCAGCTTTTTACAAAAAGGACATTATTGTTAACTAGTATCGAACAATTAGTTGATGGTTGACCGGCCAGAGTAATACAATGTGGTGCCCCCAAGATAGCTAAGTTGATTTATAACTCTAATTTCACTAGGACTTATGGTAGATATATCTATAGTTGATGGGATCATAAATCAACGTTCACATAACTTGGGGGCACCACCGAACGTCAAGTCCAATAATCGATCCGCTTAAGAGGGAGCAGTTCGGAGCTGTGGGTGTATCCATATGTTCTAAACAAAATGGGGAACTAAGGAGCGACTAAGAGTTTCCCAACCACATGATAGATAAGTAGAATAAGATGGATTTAGTGTTGGGTTTGTTATTGCTGTAGCTGCATATAAATATATATATATTTGATATATGTATACTACGGGACAATGTCATCCGTGGATTAATAACATTCTGGGCTATCTAATCGGGGGGTGGCATGTGCGCAGCAGATTGGAAATATTTGGATTGGGAAAAAACACCCTAACTAATGAACCAGAGTTTATAGATCGGGGGTTGACATTGATCTTGTTTGGAAGTAGATTGCTGTAGTTGTTGATCTCTTCCATTAAGCAGCTTTAAAAACCAACCTATAAGCCTATAAGTGTGGGAGTTTTTTTCCAATTCTCGTGGTTTATCATAATTGTTTTTCCCGATTGATCTTGGCATACATTGTGTTATCCTCCATTTTATCTTTGCACAACCATATTTAGCTGGGTTTGCTGTTTCGAAGAAAGGGTCGCCCTGGATTGTTGAAATTTTTTCGGGTACCATTCTAGTAGCAGAGGATCACTGCCTTGCCGTTACCCCCCCTAATCAACACGGATTAACCCGATGTTGTCATCCCTGGGTTTGTTTAAGGTGATTTGGCTTATTTTCCCGATGGAAAATCCACCATGACTGGGGAATCTATAGGGTTTTTTTTTGACCCCTCAAGCAAATCCAAGCATCAGCTTAAACAGTTCTCGCAGGATGTCCTAGATGATGACCTGTAACTTTCCAGGTCACCGGGCCTTCCTTTTTGGGGATTGCTTATTGAGTGATTGTTTTTTTTCCTCAACGGAAAACACTTTCTTTTGAGGGAATCTAGATGGGAACATGGAACATGCCTTACCCTTGTTTAGCCGCCCTTAAGCGGATTCAATCTTTTCAGACCCACTGATGAACCAATGAATATGGGTATAGATAGAAGTAACCATCATGGCATGTTACCATGTTTAATAGTGCCCATGCTTACGGGCAAGTTGAAAGAAAGAGTGCAGTTTAATCAAAATTGTGTGTGTGTGTCCCCATGTTTGATGACGTCCCCTTTGTGGTGTTCCATATCTTTGGCCACCTTGGTAGCATGCAGAGTCCATACTCTCTGGCAATCCAGCTTCATCCAATGTCCAAGTGAGCACTCCACCTCGCAACTAGTTTTAAGACACCGGCTTCAACAGACAAGTTTATTTTAGCACACAGACATAGTAATAAAACAAACAAACAAGAACAACAAACAAAATCACAATCAAAACCAGAATCACCAAAAAAAAGAATCCGACAGGAAGAACCACCTGAAAAAAAATGAACAAACAAACAAATACTGTACAGAACTAATACATCAAAACCTGGATTTATATAATTATGTTTTTCTTTTTGTTTTTCTGGTTTGTTTTTTCTGTTTGCTCTGATTTTGTTTTGTCTTTGCTTTTTTGAAATGTTTGTGTAAAACCCTACTGTGCTGTTGGACTCATAGAATTAGTTTGTAGAAACGGGTGTGCAGCTGCAGTGAAGAAAACGGGGGTAGATCCCAACATATAGGTGTAATTCCCAGCCGCTTTAGCCATGGAAATGGCCCCAACTTCACCAAAATCAGGGTTCATCATTTATAGATATGGTAGTTTCCATAAATGGGGGTATCCCAATAGTTGGATGGTTTTTGTTACGGAAAATCCCAATCTAATAGCTGGATGATAACTAGGGGTAGCCCTATGACCTGGGAAACCTCCATTCATAGGATTTTTAATCAGGATTTTCACGGGCTCCGATGATCTCCGATGTCCTGGATTTCATCAGTTGTTTTTTCTGTTTCCATGGAACCGCCCCCTTCCCATTTTCTTTTAGTGAAGATCCCATGAAATCATCTATCCAGTGAACGGAGGGAGCCAGTTGGAGCCAGGGGTATTCATATTCCCCAAAAAAAATGGGGAGCCAGTTGGAGCTACTTAGAGTTTTCCAATCACCTAATAGTCATGAAAAGCCATCATTTTTCGACTGAAGCTCCCAGGAATTGCTCTACTTAGATGGGCCATGGGAAGCAAATTAGCGATTCCTGGTTAGTAACTGGGGATATATATATATATATAACCCCAAAAAATCCCAATGAAATAAATCCATTTACTAACTAGTTAGCTAACTCCATGGCCCATCTAAGTATGGTTTTTCAACCAAGTACAGAGACAAGCAGATATACAGTACATGGCCACTTTCATCCATGAAAGTTACCATTTTTCGAGTGAAGCTCCCACAAAGTGGTGCCCGCGGTCGATAGCTAAGTTGGTTTATAACTCCAATAACTATGGTTTATGATACGCTTAAATACATATAGTATTCCTGGTGTTTATAAACCAACGTTCACATCACTGGGGGCCCCCACATTGCATGAATTGCTCTATGTTTATGCAAGATGGTGCCCCCCAAGTTATGCTTGTTGGTTTATAATCCCATTAACTAGTTCGATATATCTACCATATATAAGTCCTAGTGAAATTGGAGTTATGTTCACCAACTGAACGCTATCGATCGGGGGCACCACCTTGTGGCGGTTCCAGCTGAGGTGAATTGCAGCATCGGCTACGAAGCCAGTGGGATGGGCGAAGAGTCGGGTCTCTGTGGCATTGACCCTGAGGATGATACGCGAGGCTGGACCCTGGCTGGAGATCGAACTGGCTACTGGGGTAACTACCATATATAAGGCCTATGTTTTAGGCCTAAATTTCAGGGAATATCCCAACAAAATATGGCTTTACCCTCTGGTAAACTAACATAGCTGTGGAAAATTAGCCATAGAAATAGTTGATTTACCTATTCAAAATGCTGATGTTTTATAGTTTTTTGTATGTTTACCAGAGGGTATATAATTACTGGGGTGAACATAAGCATTTTTTTTAATTTAGGTGAAAAATTGTAACCAGAAATGGGGAGATGGGAAGTGAACGAATTAAATTTAAGACTTGATCACATTGAATCATCATTTTATCTTTGATTCCGTACAAACATTGGTGAATTTATATGATCAAATTTATGATTTAGCGTTGAAATTGCCCCAAAATTGCAGGCTAAGCCTCCGGTAATTTCTTGTATAACTGCGGTTTGTGGGTAGCCCATGGCTAGTAAGCCATTTAGTTCGATGATTGACCAAGCAAAATGGCGATTCTTCAAGGGACTTAACTTGTTTCTTGGAGGATCATCCCACTTTGTGGTGTGACTAACCCTGCCTGGTAAGACCGAAAAATCCCATTGGTTACAACTCTAGGTTTACTATATCCCATAGGATCCATGGTGCTGGTATATATGCTAACATGACTGGGGTATATTGATGGGATCCATATTACCATATCTAGCAGCACCATGGATCCTATGGGTATAACCACTTCATTTGTGGGATGATTGTTTACTCTTTCTTGCAGAATAGAGGCTTTCCGCAGCCACCAATCTTGGATTCTAAGAATAGCTAAGATTAGCCATGGGTCACCATTGTAATAAACACACCAGTGGTTCTGCTTGGTGGTTTATCTCACCGGGTCATGTTTGTGGTTTGATTGAGTCGCTATACAACCGTGGTTGCTCTAACTCAGAAAATGTTTACACGGGCACAAGTTTGTATGTACACATCTGAAATGTGGGGCCCAGTTATAAGTCAGCTTATAAACCCCAGTAAGTATTATATAAGTACCCTAAACCATTTTTTTTAGAATTATTATTAACCAACCTACCTATCTAATTTCCCCCCCCCCCAAAAAAAAAACTCGGATTCAGCAGGATGTATTGACTATCAAGAAGCAGCTGCAGTATGCCTCATGATGAACCAGTACCAGAGGTGATATCACATTCCATTTGGTGAGTTTTGGTTATTCATCTTAAGGATATACCATCTCATTATTTAACTTAGCCATGGAAAATGGCCCGTAGGAAGTAGGTGAGGAGAGAATTGTTGTTTCTGTGGACCATCACCCTTCTTAACCCATACATTACCACCTGCGTTGAAACCAGCTACGACCCAAATTCAGCAGCAACTCGCGAAGAAAAACTTAGACTGAACACCAGATAGTATAGACCCTCGGGTAAACAAATGTGACAATGGAACATTCATGAAAGTCCCTAAAAAAGAAGGTTTTAATATGTGCTGGTTTGAATTTGTCCAAGTCATCATGATGAATGTTCCAATAAGTGGCAGCCGGAAACCGCTAGGACACAGCCGGAAAAAGGTTCAAATAATCAGTGAAAGTGTGGTATCCAAGGCCACTGAACGGAATTGATCAGGCCAGACTAGTTGGACGACCAAAACATTGCTGATCATGTATGGAAAACCGAGAAACATGTTGGGATTCAATGGTGATACGGAGGTTTCCTGAGTCATGGGAGTACCCGAAAGTGGAGGCTTTATTTCATGAAAAATCCATGAAAATCCTATTAAACAAATTTAAAAAGGATGATAACTAGGGGTACCCCTATTTTAGGAAACCTCCATATAATGGGGATATATCATGATACATCAACAACTTGATGTATGAATGTTAGGGGACTTACTTCAAGGCAGTGGCGAAATAATGTTTGTTGGAAGACCCCTTACCAACTACAGATATGTCTACCGCTTATCACCCAACTTGGTTAGAAATGATCAATGGGAATTCCAGGATCCTAAAATGGAGGTACGTCAGTACCATTTTTCAGGCCATATGTTGGGGGTATATCCCCGTACATAGCCCTGAAAAATAGGCCTTTTATATAGGTACATCCAATTTGGGTTCCGGCATTGAAATGGGGCACCAGCTTGTACAACGCCGAGAAAGTGGAGCTGTTAGACTGAATTTTACAGTCGTTCTTGATTTTTCATACCATGATGACTTCTGATTTAAACCTCAATTTGGTAGTAATTTATCGATGATTTTATACCATAACTCATAGATGTTATTATAGGGGATTTCCGATCTTTCCTATGGTATCGATACTAGGTAAAATCCCCGCGTTTCTAGGTAAAATCCACTTTTTGCCTACTTAGATGGGCCATGGAGTTAGGGAAAACTAGTTTAGTAAATGGATTATTTCATTGGGATATAGAGGGTTATATCCCCAATTACTAACCAGTTAGTTAATCCCATGGCCCATCTAAGTATGGTTTTCCGATTGTTTTCCCATGGTTTCGTGATTTTCGAGCCATGGGGCCCGAAAACGACTGGAGGTCGTTGGGTGAGCCCCAGCAGCGTCAGCAAGGGACAGGCGCACCACCCAAAAATGTTATCCTCGGCGACGGCAAAAATACGCAGATTTCACCATAGATGTCCCAAATTCCCATCGGTGGGTTGATGAAAAAAATCAGGGGTTCCTTCAGGTTTAGCCCTTTAACAACAGGAAACTGGGGATATAACCCTTTATATCCCAATGAAATAATCCATTTACTGACTAACCACTAACTCCATGGCTCATCTAAGTACCCCTTTAACAACAGGTTTCTATGTTTGATGATAGATGGGATTTTCCCCAGCTCCCGGCCCCAGCTCCGCTATTTTCACCAAAAGTCCGATGATCTCCTGGGATTTTATCGTCTTAGATGGGTAGTTTCACTAATCCTACGTTCGGTGGTGCCCCCCAAGTTATGTGAACGTTGGTTTATAATCCCATTAACTATAGATATATATATATATATCTACCATAAGCCCCAGTTATTATAGTTATAAACCAGCTTAGCTAACTTGGGGGCACCACCTTGTAACTAGTCACTAGTCTGACTTGGTATGGGATTATCTACTTTAGCTAAGAATTGATTAGTGGGTTTACCACATCAATGGGAACTAGGTCAATCTTAAGATGGGTAGAAACTAATCCAAAATAGTCTTTTGGTATCAATGGGATTATCTACGTTCACCAGCGAAGTTTTTTTTGGCATCTTTTTTGCTGAGTATCTGGCTGATTGGCCATGTCATGGGATTTAGTTAGCTAAAGTGGTATATATGATAACTATAGGATTTAAGGTGGATATATCTATAGTAAAGGGGTTGATAGACAAACTTGCAACTGGCTTGACTACAGTACCTTCTACCAATGTGAGCCACTGAACAAAAAACATGTTTGTTGGTCATTGGAGATTCTACCTATTTCATTGGGGATGATTACAATCCATAACAGGGGATACCTATTACCGGACCCAACCAGTACAAGGGGATGAGAAAAGGGCAGAGTACAGCAAAATTTCAATGGTTGATCATGATTTCTGGCCCAACCTCGGTTAGATACCAATGGTAATCAGCCAACCAATCAGATTATTTGGCAGGTATCTACAATGTGGGGCCCCCTAGATAGCTAAGTTGGTTCATTATTCCAATAACTACAGTATGGCTTATGATACCGTTAACTATAGCATGATTCACCATTATTTTCCAATATGTTCTCAAATTGTGGATAAGTTTGTTTCTTTCCCGTGTGTTTTTGGAGCCTTTTCCATTTCTTTATATATTTTTTGTTCGCCGACCGGCTGATGTAATACGTGTCCCGGCTTATGTTGGGGTAGCTGGATGCACATCCCCACTACGACCTGGTAAACGAACCTATGCAGTTTGCGAAGTGGTTTTAATCACCATCGAACTAATAGGTACCCTCTGGTAAACTAACATAACTATAGAAAATCACCATTTTTAATGAGCTATAAATTGCCATTTTCAATAGCTATGTTAGTTTCCCAGAGGGTAGCTCAAGGAACTAAATGGGCCATTTTCAATAGCTATGTAAGAAATTACCAGAGGGTGCGAACTGGATTGTGGTTTTGCGCATTCCTAGCCACTTGGCCACTTGGATTTGGAATGTCACCAGTTTTTGTGGCTATCTTGATGGGTGATAGAACTCGACGCGAAGGCACCCCCCAAGTGCTATTGGGCCCAGTTATCTTCGTTGGTTACGGTTACAACGTGGGGCCCCCAAGATAGCTAAGTTGGTGAACAAAACTCCAATAACTATGATTTATGATACTTATAACTATAGTTAATGGTGTTTTTAAACTAACTTATATCATTGACCAGTGATGTTCCTTCCACGTATCCAATAGCTATCCTGGATGTGTTCAAGCAACCTAGCACGACCCACAAGCACTTGGTGTTATATATTTATATATACACAACGCGCTTGCAGATTCTCCATTCAACATCCGATATAATCCCATATAATCCCATAGTTCAAGGGCCATATTAATCACAACAATTCAAGCGCCAGATTAAGCCACCATTTCTTCGAAGTTGATATGAGTAATACAATACCACTTCGAAGACACGGTGGCTTGATATGTGCGTTTTCTATCGTTTTCTTGTTTACTTAGTGAAAATATATCGAGGTTTCCCAAAATGGGGGTACCCCCAAATCAAACCAGCCCCATTCTAGGAAACCCCCATATGCAAACTTCATGAGAACTACAATGTGGCCCCCCCCAGCTATAAGTTGGTTTCTAAACACCATAAACTATAGTTATAACTTATAGACCATAGTTAAATTGGAATTATGTTCCGGGCGCCCCGGGCAGAGGTGGGGTCCCGGGTGGAGGAGGAGAAGGAGAAGATGGAGAGGGAGCGGGGCGAGGGCCCCAAGAAGACAACACCACCACACCACGACAGCGGAATATGCAGGTATTGCCAGCATGCCGGGGAGTGCACCGCCGTCGTGCAAGGGGAGGCCACGAGCCCCGTGAGCCAGCCAAGGGCAAGGAGGGCTCACCGCCGTCGTATGTCTACCCCGACTCTGATGATGGTCCTGATGAAGGCAAGGACAAAAAACCGGCGCCGCCTGCGGGCTCAAAAAAGCTGGTGCAGCCTGCAGGCCCTCCTCCCCTGACTCCCCTGGTTGATGCCTTGGCTGGTTTTTACGAAGGCCAGGCACGCTTCATGCCCTACTGCAGGCAAGGCTCGAATCCAAGGAGGTTAAGATCGGCCGTCGCGCCTGAAAGCCAGCAAGGTCCAGTGCCGCCGGAGGTGGAGGAGATCGACCAACTATCGTTGTGCCGGGCGGCTTTCCATCATACCAGTTGATTCAATCCTCTCAACGTCTCAACCATCATTATATCCCCATAAATACAATGTCGGGCCCCCCAGTTACGAACGTTGGTTTATAAACACCGGTGAGTACAATTATTTGCGTACCATAAACCCTAGTGAAATTGGAGTCATAAACTGACTTTGTTTTCTAGGGAGCCCCACATTGTAGCTATATTATATAATATGGATAATTTTCATGGAATAACCAACAATCATGGATGAATAAAGGATAGTTGATGACAATTGGAATACCATTCTTGTTCGTTATTCTCTGGAAATCTAGCATAGCTACAAGGTTGTGCCCCCAAGATGGTTTATAGCTCTAATAACTAGGACTTATGGTAGCTATATCGAACTAGTTAATGGGGATTATAAACCAAAGTTCACATAACTTGCGGGACACCAGCGAACGTATGGAACATGACCCATTTAGATCAGTTGTCAATAGCAGTCATATAGCTATAGAAAAATGAGCCATAGAAATAGTTGATTTACCTATTCAAACTATAGTGATTTTCTATGGTTACTGCGTCATTTTCTATAGTTCCTGGGTAAATCAACTATTTCTAAGTGATGTTCTATAGATTTACCCTATGGTTGTTTAACATAGCCATGGAAAATCTCCATGCTATTAATAGGTAAACCATCTATTTCTATGGGCCATCTATACCATGGCTATGTTAGTCATAACCAGAGGGTATATATATATATAATAATCCTGGAGTAGATAGAATCCAGTTTCGTAGGGGGTGTTTTTTATTTTGAAAAAACCCAGGGTTTTTTGACCCAATACTAAACTATATCTTCGGACCCCCTAGATAGAATATTCCAAAATCTACTCCAGGATGCTCAAAATGTGTAGTTTTTTCCTTTCCTTTTGAAAACCTTCTATTTTTTCAAAATTTCCTTTTCAAACAGCTGCAAGAATGAACTTTGGATGGTAAGATCGAGGATTCCTACTTTTCTCATGCACTTTTCATTTCAAACACAGTTTTCCATTCAAAAACCTTCAATTATGAACTTTGGATGCTCGATCTTGGATTCCAGCTTTTCTCATCTCCTTTTCCTTTCACAGTTCTCTTTTCAAAAACCTGCAAGACTGAACTTCGGATGGTCGATCTTGGGTTCCTTCTTTTCTCATCCCATTTTCCTTTCGATGCTTCTTTTCAAAAACCTGCAATTTCAACTTTGGATGGTAAGATCTTGCATCCCTACTTTTCTAATGCCATCTTCCTCTTAAAGTTTGCTTTCAAACCGCTCGAAGAATGAACTTTGGATGGGTAGATGTGGAGGAAGGGGCAGGGAGCACCACAAATACATGCTGAATTCCAAGCATCCTTTAAAGATGCACTCTTTTCATGCTTCTAGAGGATATTCTATCTATAGTTTTGCCCAACTGTCCTAGCACATCACTAGCAAAAATGAACTTTGGATGGTCGATCTTGGATTCCTACTTTTCTGGACTTTTCTCATCTCCTTTTCCTTTCAGCTTTCTATTCAAAAACCTGCAAGACTGAACTTTAAATGGTAAGATCGTTGATTCCTTCTTTTCTCATCCCATTTTCCTTTCGATGCTTCTTTTCAAAAACCTGCAATTTCAACTTTAGATGGTAAGATCTTGCATCCCTACTTTTCTAATGCCATCTTCCTCTTAAAGTTTGCTTTCAAACGGCTCCAAGAATGAACTTTGGATGGGTAGATGTGGAGGAAGGGGCAGGGAGCACCACAAATACATGCTTAGTTCCAAGCATCCTTTAAAAATGCAGTCTTTTCATGGTTCTAGAGGATATTCTATCTACAGTTTTGCCCAACTGTCCTTGCACGGCACTAGCAAAAATGAACTTTGGATGGTCGATCTTGGATTCCTACTTTTCTATACTTTTCTTATCTCCTTTTCCTTTCACAGCTTTCTATTCAAAAACCTGCAAGACTGAACTTTAAATGGTAAGATCGTGGGTTCCTTCTTTTCTCATCCCATTATCCTTTTGTTGCTTCTTTTCAAAAACCTGCAATTTCAACTTTGGATGGTAAGATCTTGCATTTCTACTTTTCTAATGCCATTTTCCTTTTAAAGTTTGCTTTCAAACGGCTCCAAGAATGAACTTTGGATGGGTAGATGTGTCCTAGCACAGCACTAGCAAAAATGAACTTTGGGCAGGGAGCTTTCTATTCAAAAACCTTTAAATGGTAAGATCAATCCCATACAAAAACCTGCTGGTAAGATCTTGCATTACTTTTCTAATGCCATCCTTTCAAACGGCTCCAAGAATGAACTTTGGATGGGTAGATGTGGAGGAAGGGGCAGGGAGCACCACAGTGCTTAATTTTTCATGTCTTTTCATGTTCTAGAGGATATTCTATCTATAGTTTTGCCCAACTGTCCTAGCACGGCACTTGCAAAAATGAACTTTGGATGGTCGATCTTGGATTCCTACTTTTCTATACTGTCCTAGCACAGCACTAGCAAAAATGAACTTTGGATGGTCGATCTTGGATTCCTACTTTTCTATACTTTTCTTATCTCCTTTTCCTTTCACAGCTTTCTATTCAAAAACCTGCAAGGCTGAACTTTAAATGGTAAGATCGTGGGTTCCTTCTTTTCTCATCCCATTTTCCTTTCGATGCTTCTTTTCAAAAACCTGCAATTTCAACTTTGGATGGTAACATCTTGCATTCCTACTTTTCTAATGCCATTTTCCTTTTAAAGTTTGCTTTCAAACGGCTCCAAGAATGAACTTTGGATGGGCAGATGTGGAGGAAGGGGCAGGGAGCACCACAAATACATGCTTAATTCCAAGCATCCTTTAACGATGCACTCTTTTCATGCTTCTAGAGGATATTCTATCTACAGTTTTGCCCAACTGTCCTAGCACATCACTAGCAAAAATGAACTTTGGATGGTCGATCTTGGATTCCTACTTTTCTGGACTTTTCTCATCTCCTTTTCCTTTCACAGCTTTCTATTCAAAAACCTGCAAGACTGAACTTTAAATGGTAAGATCGTGGATTCCTTCTTTTCTCATCCCATTTTCCTTTCGATGCTTCTTTTCAAAAACCTGCAATTTCAAATTTGGATGGTAAGATCTTGCATTCCTACTTTTCTAATGCCATCTTCCTCTTAAAGGTTGCTTTCAAACGGCTCCAAGAATGAACTTTGGATGGGTAGATGTGGAGGAAGGGGCAGGGAGCACCACAAATACATGCTTAATTCCAAGCATCCTTTAAAAATGCAGTATTTTCATGGTTCTAGAGGATATTCTATCTATAGTTTTGCCCAACTGTCCTAGCACGGCACTAGCAAAAATGAACTTTGGATGGTCGATCTTGGATTCCTACTTTTCTATACTGTCCTAGCACAGCACTAGCAAAAATGAACTTTGGATGGTCGATCTTGGATTCCTACTTTTTTATACTTGTCTTATCTCCTTTTCCTTTCACAGCTTTCTATTCAAAAACCTGCAAGACTGAACTTTAAATGGTAAGATCGTGGATTCCTTCTTTTCTCATCCCATTTTCCTTTCGATGCTTCTTTTCAAAAACCTGCAATTTCAACTTTGGATGGTAAGATCTTGCATCCCTACTTTTCTAACGCCATCTTCCTCTTAAAGTTTGCTTTCAAACGGCTCCAAGAATGAACTTTGGATGGGTAGATGTGGAGGAAGGGGCAGGGAGCACCACAAATACATGCTTAATCCCAAACATCCTTTAAAAATTCAGTCTTTTCATGGTTCTAGAGGATATTCTATCTATAGTTTTGCCCAACTGTCCTAGCACAGCACTAGCAAAAATGAACTTTGGATGGTCGATCTTGGATTCCTACGTTCTATACTTTTCTCATCTCCTTTTCCTTTCGCAGCTTTCTTTTCAAAAACCTGCAAGACTGAACTTTGAATGGTAAGATCGTGGATTATTTCTTTTCTCATCCCTTTTTCCTTTTGTGGTTTCTTTTCGAAAACCTGCAATTTCAACTTTGGATGGTAAGATCTTGGATTCCACTTTTTAGATGCCATTTTCCTTTTAAAGTTTGCTTTCAAACAGCTCCAAGAATGAACTTTGGATGGGTAGATGTGGAGGAAGGGGCAGGGAGCACCACAAATACATGCTTAATTTCAAGCATCCTTTATAAATTCAGTCTTTTCATGCTTCTAGAGGATATTCTATCTACAGTTTTGCCCAACTGTCCTAGCACGGCACTAGCAAAAATGAACTTTGGATGGTCGATCTTGGATTCCTACTTTTCTATACTGTCCTAGCACAGCACTAGCAAAAATGAACTTTGGATGGTCGATCTTGGATTCCTACTTTTCTATACTTTTCTTATCTCCTTTTCCTTTCACAGCTTTCTATTCAAAAACCTGCCAGACTGAACTTTAAATGGTAAGATCGTGGATTCCTTCTTTTCTCATCCCATTTTCCTTTCGAAGCTTCTTTTCAAAAACCTGCAATTTCAACTTTGGATGGTAAGATCTTGCATTCCTACTTTTCTAATGCCATTTTCCTCTTAAAGTTTGCTTTCAAACGGCTCCAAGAATGAACTCTGGATGGGTAGATGTGGAGGAAGGGGCAGGGAGCACCACAAATACATGCTTAATTTCAAGCATCCTTTATAAATTCAGTCTTTTCATGCTTCTAGAGGATATTCTATCTATAGTTTTGCCCAACTGTCCTAGCACGGCACTAGCAAAAATGAACTTTGGATGGTCGATCTTGGATTCCTACTTATCTATACGTTTCTCATCTCCTTTTCCTTTCAGCTTTCTATTCAAAAACCTGCCAGACTGAACTTTAAACGGTAAGATCGTGGATTCCTTCTTTTGCACAGCTTTCCTTCCACACTCATTCCTTTATTGGGTTTTGCTACTTGGGTATATCCCGGGAACAAAAAATACCATTGCCAAAGATTCTACAACACCTGAAATGGTTTTTGGAAACCTGCCGTTGTTAGCAGAATGCACTAGGGAAGGGCCAGCACAGTGGTTGATACCATAGATAGAATATGAAAGAATATAGAAGAATATGGGAATGGATCAAAACCTTCTGTCCCAATTACACCCAATTCTATACAGATTACTTTTTAAAGTATCTGGTTTTGATCGATGTCCAAATTCAAATCTCCAGGAGGTCCGGTGAGCACACTGTAGCTAAATGGGTACAGGTCAAATTTGGCCCCAGCTCAATTGCAAAATTGCACCATTTGAATTATGAACTATCAATTTTGGGGGCGTGATAATTTGACACACACCCATTCCTTTATTGGGTTTGACTACTAAATACCATTGCCAAAGGATCTATATTTCTGGTAACCAACAGCAACAGTGCAAATTTTGGGGTTGTGATAATTTCTTTGGAAGATTTTGGGCTGAAATTCGCAGGCCAGAACCTAATACACCAGCATAATAACAACATTTGGTGGTCATTCCAAAGGCCCAAACAACCAAATCACAAGCTAAATGACGGCTGTTGTGATCATTTTAGAGGGACCGTTTTTTTTCCAATCATCGACCCGGATTTTTGAGCCATTTTGGGATTCTATCTATAGGTTTTTTTCGGACTGTTTTTTTTTTTAAATTCCAGAGATTCTATCTACTTCAGGATGGTATATATCCATTTCTATCATATTCTATCTCATTACATCCACTATATATCCAACAAATTTACCCATAGATTCCTGGGTCAACCGTTATTTTTTGTCCAGCGACCTTCGTTGCGCAAAAGGTTCCCTGGCGTCCACTTAGATGCCGCATGAAGCAGAGCTACTGTCCCTTGATCCAGGCGCCGCGATTTCGCCATGGGATTTCGCTATTTACCCGGCCTGATCAACATACAAAAAAAGTATGGAACATCACCATGCTAGAAAAATGCTAAATCCACTATTTCGATTGGACCATTTTCTATGTCGCTATCATAAATCAGCTATAAATCCCATAATCCCCATTTTCCTATGGATAAATCCACTATAAATGGCCATTTTAACAGGCCGGGTAACCATGATTTAAGTAACACAAATGCTGTTATGGTGATTTCCCGGGCTTTTCCAAAAGCGGTACCGGAAAAAAAACATACAAGTCGTGGGGCCCCGTGGCCACGAAAACGCGATCAGTTGGGGGCCGCAGAATTCCAATTTCACTATGGTTCATGATACGCAAATAACTTTGGTTGATGGGGTTTATAAACCAACTTATAACTCGGGGGGCCCACATTGTCCGGATGAATCATAAAACATGTTGGAATTTGCTGGGTAAATTGATATGTCATGAACGTTTTCATCGGGATACAGTGGAAATACCATAGGATACAATAGGAAATATCACCAACACATGCAATAGTTGAATAAATGATGTTGCGATCCCACGTTGCGACCTCATGTGACTTGGTTCTGGCTAGCTCTCCCATCCAGGGCCGATCTTTTCAGGTGTTGCATTTTGGCGAATGGCACAGAGATCCTGGGATACTGTGGTACAATCACAAACCACCTATATAGATGGTTTGCAGCCATAAAGTGGTGATAACTTGGGTTTTTTGTGCGTTTATGGCTGTTTTACCAGCATATCCCATGGAAAATCCCATGACCCTCTGGTAAACGTTTACAGTTTGCGACATAGAAAATGGCCAGTCGAAATAGTGGATTTACCCAATGATAGCATGGTGATTTTCCATAGTTAAACATTTACCAGAGGGTAAATCCCATTAAATCCCATTAAATCCCATTAAATCCCATTAAATCCCATGGAAAATCCCATGGAAAATCCCATGGAAATCAGCACTTTTCATGGTGAAATCCATCTGCTGATCGGATCCTGGCCTTCCATCTGTCGCCACAGATGGATCATGGTCAACTCCTGTCACTCTCGAAGGCGCTGCTGAACTTGCTGAACTGTTGATTCCGCCAAGAAAAAAACACTTTGAGTACAGGATGGGGCCCTCCAGTTCTAAGTTTGTTTATAACCCCATCTAAATATAGTTATAAGTATCATACACTATGGTTATTGAAGAATCAACTTAGATGGGCCATGGGATTAACGATTCCTGGTTAGTTACTGGGGATTCTTTACTCCCAAAAAATCCGAATGAAATAATCCATTTACTAACTAGTTAACTAACTCCATGGCCCATCTAAGTAGCCATCAAGAAATTGGTACCCAGTAAACTAACATAGCTAAAATGGCCCATAGTTATAGAGAATTTACCGGAAATGGGGATGTTCCTATAGCTATGTTAAATTACCAAATTGGTCAACAAATTGGCAAACTGATGTGAAATGGTAAACATACTGAAACTATCGGGACAAATAGCCTCTGGTTCCTCAACGGTTTGCGGGCACATCACATTTTTTCATGGCTAAATCAAGCTTCTCATTTTTTTCGGTCATCTATAGCATAGCAAACTGCAACTTCAATGAGGGTACTGAGATGGGCCATGGGATTAAGTAACTGGTTAGTACCTGGGGATATAACCCTTTATATCCCAATTATAATCCATTTACTAACTAGTTAACTAACTCCATGGCCCATCTATATAAGTATTCCAATTGTCCATGAAATTCATCCATGATTCTTGGTGATTTCTCCACGATCAACGTTCAAATCACTACTGCTTAGAATAGTCGACCATGGCTTCAGTTGGCCTTGAGAGCTATAGATAGCTTGGGAGGGGTAGATATGGTAGGTACTTGATGGAAAACCTACAGTAATTGGGGGTACCATATCAAACTATTTATGGTAGAATTTACTTAGTTGTAGCAAATTATTTATGGTAGAAATTGGGACCGGGTAATACCAGAACCATAGGTCGTACCATAGAAAACCTCAATTTTGGCAGAATAGACCCTATGGCAAGGACCTGAATAAAAACTTGCTTCCAGAGATGGCCACTGAACCACTTAAATGGCTAGCCAAAAAACACGCAGCCAAAATGGCGCGTTGTTGTTTAACACTGCTGAAAGGGTGGCGATGTCCCCTTAAACATGGCCATCTCAAGAGGTTTTTTGGGTTTTATCCCATTTGGAATTATTTTCCTCAGGGCTCAGTTGACTGCAAACCTCATTTTAGCGGATCCATTCACATATCTATGCCACTGTTGAATTGTCATGGCCATTGGCCAATCGGTGCAAGCTGGAAGACTGGCTTTGTTTGGAGATCTCAAATCTTCGAAGCCTCCTGTGGCTATTCCCATGAGGAGAGACCTCTTTGTGAACCATGGCAGCTCACCTTTCACAAGGTTTGTTTGCACATATTGGCTGTGATGGTCGCGGGACCACTCCTTCTGGGAGGGATTTGATGGAATTTGGTGACCGATCGGCTCGTGCAATTCAACACGCAAACACAGAGACGCAATCGATGCGGCATGAAGCTGATGATGGAGCTGGCGTGGCCAGGACGACAACGTTCTTGTCGATGATGTGCCGTTGCTTTGCGTTGTCCTTGTTCATTCATCACACTGGAACTCAATCCAGGCACGATGCGCATTACAACATCATGCACAACCACTGGTACACTGTTGATGCTTGGATCGAGACTGCCAAGAACACTGTGATCATCTGGATGCAGATCCTCTCTGTTTGGAAGTGGAACTTTAGGCAGCATTAGTTACACTGTTCTCCCTAAGCCTGGAAATCATGGTTTATGTAAGGGAAATCATCCCCTTTTATGGCCCAACAATTCAGGTTAGTCAAATATTATAATTTACCCAGACCCATGGATTTCATACCCAATTTTCAGACAAAACGACGTTTTCAGAAGCTACTCTCCTGCGTCATCAAACGTAGCTAGCTGGAAATTCGACTGTTTAAGTAGATCATTGTTCCATTAAAACGTCAATTTAGTCGAGTATGATTGCCGGAGAGTATATTGACAGCGAAGAAATTTATTGCTCCTTATCCCATAAGTAGGGAATGGTAAAAATGAATTCTTTTTGCTACCGAGACACTCAGTGTGTACCCGCACCAAAAATGGATAAAAGTACCAGCAACATATGAGGCAAAGCATGCGACTCTCTTTTTGGGTCATAACTATAGGTAGCACAAATATCCTCACTAATTGTGTATCCAACAATACTACAATGATAATATGAGTCATCATGATGATTATAGTATAACCATGACTATTATCATCGTCATCATTATGATATTATAATTATAACAATAATTAGTTATCATGATGACTATAATCATTATTATTATAGTATAATAATAATGATGATGCAATTGAACTTGATCACCCATTAACTCGCCATAATTGCCAACATCAACTCACCATGAACTTGCCATTTGTGTTTGATGCGCCGATGGAGTGGTCATTTTTTCTTGGTTTTCTGTGATTTTAGAGGCTTAAATCTGCTACCCTCTGCTAGCCTCTGGTGAACATAGACCCTGAAAATTTCTAGTGGAAAAAAAATACTTCCGACCCCTAATTTACTGCCAGGGTCGAACCGGGTCGAACTGTTAATTTACTGGATGCTACCACAAAAAAAAAACCAAGGGATTAAACCGACAGAAACTACAACGGGGATATCCAGAGATGATCATAGCTATTGAAAATCACCGTTTTTAATGGGTAAATTAGCTATAAATGGCAATTTTCAATAGTTATGTTAGTTTATCAGAGGGTACCAGACATGTGGAATCTACAAGGAATATAAGATATATATATATAATATATGTCTCATTTTTAGGTCCATGACGCCGAACTCAGAGTAGCGCTATTCCATATCTCCTTTGACACCTAGTACAAGGAGGTTTGTTCCTCCCGCTGGGCCGCTGGGTCAGTTTCCTGGATACGGAGCCCAACGAAATTTGAAGAATGCCACACACTCCGACTTCCGGACGTTTATCATATGATGTCGCAGAATATAATATGATATAATATGATATATATATATATGGATATATTATGATATACACCTGGATCTTCAATCAGCACTTTTTTCTGCTCAGAGAAGTTTTTGCTTGGATTTACGCCCATTCCGACTTTTAATGCTCACTCGAACTTGAAAACCCACATCTGAATCTTGACGGACGGGTATTTACGCTGATTTCCCAGGGAAATACGCTCCTATTTTTTGCTTCCAAAGCACAAAGTGCAAAAATGCCCTAAAAGTGGTGCAATTACGCTCGTGTGGAAAAAAAACCGCTCAAAAAGCAGAAATCTCTCAGTGAGCATTTATTTGCGTTTTTTCGAGGATGCAGTCATATGATGATGTATATGCATTCTCATCGTTCTGAACGAATCTTGTGCCAGATTCTGCCAAAAACAGATCCAACCCTGGTCAAAGATGTAGGAAGAACCTGCCACCGAAAGTGCTGACATGGTCGGTGCGCTCAGCTCTCAGTAATCTCATCGTCCCCATATGAGTAGTGCCAGGGGAAGGGATTATCTGTAAAACAGGCAATGGTTAAGCCTGAGGTTATCCCAGATTTGCAAGGGTCATCCAGTGCATCAACGGGTTATATCCAAGGGATAAGGCTATAAAATTACTTTCTAACTAGAATATTGAATCAATTCCCACAAGTCGAAGGTGTTTTTTTCACTCATGTCCTAAGGTCATTCCATCTATCAAGTCCCATTGAAATCATCATTTTTCATATAATTGTCATTCCAATTCAAAACAACTGAATTGGACACCGTTTCTATTTTTAAAATCCCATTGAATCACCTAATTTTTGCTGCTTAAATTCCCACTCAATCACCATTTCTGCTGGTTAAATCTTATCAAACTCACCACTTCCAAGCACTCCGCGCCAGGAACGCTACTTGGAGAGCACTGCCGAGCTGGGCTGCGCCGAAGGTTACGAAGCCTCCGGAGGCTTCTCCAGCTTCACCTGTCGGAGAGCCCAGGGGACTTCACCAATTGAATCGGGATTTTGGAGTTTTTTTCATGGAATTGCCATTCAAATTTGAAGTTTATAAATTTGGCATTTACCCTCTGGTGAACTAACATAGCAATTGAAAATGGCCATTTATAGTGGATTTTTCCATTAAGAATGGTGATTTTCCATTGCTATGTTAGTTCACCAGAGGGTAGATGGGATTTGTGGGATTTAGTGATGATTTTTTTGGGATCTTCATCGATGTAAGGGAAAATCGGTGGGGTTTGAATATGGCCAGGTGACATGACCCGTGTCCGCAACGGTGTCCTGAAAGGTGGTTGGGAAAAATCAAAGCAAAACCTATGGGAATTGGAGGTTTGAATGGGACAACTATAGGAAAACCATGGAGATCCTGTACAAATGAAGGGTTACGGGAAAACGTCATGGAACTAAACGAGTGATCTTCCAGCAGACCACGTTTGATGGAGGGTAGGGTAGCACTTTAAATAAATGTGTTGTTGAGCAGGCATTGACCTGTTGTTGTCTGGAACTAAGCAAAATGTGGATGTTACTTACAACATATAGGTCTCTTGCCAAGACAAAAATAAAAGGATTGGATGTCAATAACAACAATAGGGATCGAATGACAAAACAATGGAATTCAACCATGCAGTGTAAGAAGGTTCAAAGGAATTCCTGATTCGATGGCCCCTGAAATCACATATTTGCACTGCGGCTTTATACCCATTCGTTCCTTAAGATCATTTTGGTAAACAAAAACATATATGTCACCCATTGCTGGAATATCCAGCAGAGTATGGCAGATCTACAGCTGAATTGGTGATGAAAAACGAGGGGTAGCACCAACTTTGTGGAAAACTTTGTAGCAAGAATCCGGAATCCGAATGAATTGTTTCCAACAGGATAGATTGTTTTTACTAGTCAACTACTGTAGGTCTTTGGATGTCTTTGGTGGATATGGTTACGAATTCCTTTTGAGTCGTCTCAGTCTTTATCACAACAGAAATTCGATTGACAAATGGACATGCGTTTCAGCAAAAATTGTCCCCGAGCAATGCGTATGAACCTTAAATGTCACATCATCCTTGGTGTGGAAGATGTTCAGGCCCAAATACGGATGGTTGAAGCGGTTTGAACATCAACAAGTTCAGGGCTTTATTGGTACATGGTGGTGCCCTCTGGTTATGCGTTAGTTTGTTAAGTTGCTAACATATACTAACATATACTAACTATAGTTATATTCCAGGCAGTTACTTCTGCCCTCTAATGGAAGCCACTTAGACCCAAAGTGCCAAACGGTCACTTACAAGATCAATCATGCATAAGTGACCTCGTTTCATGAATCCTTAAGTGACCTCTTTGCCTGGCTGATCTTATGATTTCTGCGTGTCACTGCGTGTCACTTGCGTGTCACTGGGGTTTCGAGGTGGGATGAAACAAGGTCACTTAGGACCCTGAAAAGGTCACTTAAGCCTTGAAAAGGTCACTTAAGGATTGGCTGTCTGCGTGTCACCTGCGTGTCACTTGCGTGTCACTGGTAGGCCACTGTTTGGTTCGTTTCCTTAAGTGACCTCTTTCTACGTTTTCCTTAACTGACCTCTTTCTAAAGGCCACTTAGCAGAAAACACAAACAAGGTCACAAGGAATCGTCTGGTTATGTTATATTCACCACAAACCTTTGTTTATTCAATTTAGTCAAGAAACTGAGGTACTACCTATAATCAGCCAACCATTGTTTCCCCACGAGATCCAATTAAATCCGATTAAATCACCATTTCTTTCGGAGTTATACACATGCCTCGGTCGAAAAAGTGTCAAGGCCACGCCTCAACGAACTCGACTGGAGCATGGCGAGCCAGTGGCGGACTCGGAGGGTTGCTGAGTGAATGACCCCGGAAAGGAATCCCAAGTGCCTTCGCAGTATTGGGGGTGATTTAGAGGGTAAAGCAAGGTTAAGTCTTTGCTGGCTATATTATATAACCCCAGGAATTGTAAGTGGTTAGTTCACCCCAGTGAAGATTCAATAGGATAAGTACAATGTGGCCCCCCCGATTATAAATTGGTTTATAACCCCCATGAACTAAAGATATTTGCGAATCATAAACCATAGTAAAATTGGAGTTATGTTCACCCACTTAGCTATCATAAACGGGGTCCCACTTTGTAGGCACTTCCGATGGAGGTTTGAACCAACTACCCTTGGAATTGGATTAAAATGTCCGGGTCAACATCCATGAGAACTTAACCCTATATATATATATATATATATGAGAACTTAACCCTACCTATAATTATATATATATATATATTGAGAAAGGTTTCAGACCCCTTTTCACCAGTAAGAACAACTCTATACACTTTTCACTACGTTTCACGACTGTATGTTTGAAGGTTTTTGGAGCACATATCACTCCCCCATGTTCTGGATATTCATTGTGTTTGAACATGGACCTAGAGAATTGATTATCTGAGTTTGGCCATGTCGCTTTGTTAATAGTTCATAATATGGCACCAATCTACCTGGTTCAGTGGAGAGGACCTTTGAAATGGGAAAATTGGTTGATGTTCTACCATTTTCTACCAATTGCAGATTTACAACATCAACTAAGAGATCTAAGAGAGAATCATGAGTTTCATGGGATGCGTGATTTTTCTATCACTTCAATTGGGAACAAGCAAATCTCCTTTTTTTTTGTGAACACCTTGGGTCAGCTGGACAAATCGCGGCAAGGTGATGGCATGTCAGATTTGACCCAGAAGCTGCAGTGCAGCAAGATCTCGCAGTGCCCCAACCGATCTCGCTGGTGGCGTCCGGCGATGGTCGTGTCAAGCCAGGTCGGTTGAGTAGATAAGTTACCCTCTGGTTATGTCAAAATAGTTTTTGAACATGACCATAGAAATAGTGGAAATACCCATACCCATAGGATCCATGGTGCTGCTATATATGGTAACATTTACCATCAATATACCCCAGTCATGTTAGCATATATACCAGCACCATGGATCCTATGGGATAGAACATGGTGATTTTCCATCGTTTTTTGTAAACGTTGACCAGGCCGGGTAGCCTCAACGGAAATAGATCTGGGAAACTTATCATGAAGGCTGATTTCTTTCTAAAGGCAAACCTACAATGTGGGGCCCCGTTTATGATAGCTAAGTTGGTGAACATAACTCCAATAACTATGGTTTATGGTACGCAAATAACTATAGTTAATGGGGGTTGTAAACAAACTTATAACTGGAGGGCCCCATCCTATCTAGATTTCAATAAATTTTGTGTATGTTTACTTCAGGGTCGTTTTTGCTATTTACTTCAGGGTCGTTCTTGCTATAAATGGATGTAAATGGAGGAATACTAATCAGCTAAGAATTGGATAGTTTATATCTGAGATTGAAAATGCATGCTCAATGTTATCTGTGTGTGTTTTCTTAAATTGTCGATGGTGTACACCCATCCTGGAGTAGATGGAATGGAATGAACATTCAGTTCGGGAATATTAAACCAATTCCAGAATGATTATAAGATAGGTAAGCCAAGAGGGTTCAAACCTGAGTTTGATTTTCCATGGTGAATGCTCCAAATTTCTCAAATAGTGTATATAAAGTCAGGTGCCGCTTTGTCTGTCAATCTCTGGCATGTCTGTTTTTGGCAAGTATGAAGCTGGCCTATGGAGCCAGGAATTGCTTGTGCAACATCGAAATCTCGATCGGATCGTGTGTCCCACAATGGATTCCTTTTGGCCCAAGAGGAGCAACGATATCAATGTTTGCTTAGCACAGCAGCAGATTTTAGCCCCGGTCACGGCCATGCGGCCATTCCAGGTTTTCATGGTTGTCTAAGATTCTCACAATAGCCATAGGATCCATGGTGCTGCTATATATGGTAACATGGATCCAATCAATATACCCCAATCATGTTAGCATATATAGCATACAGTACATGGATCCTATGGGATATGGTTGGTTGATTTTGGACATTTGAGTTCGTTCTCCGATCCAATTTCAGTTCGTATTTGTCGAGTGCGGGGTCCACCATTTCGGGACTACTTGTATATTGTAAATAATCTGAACAAAATGTGGCCCCCAAGATAGCTAAGTTGGTGAACATAACTCCAATAACTATGTTTTATGATACTTATAACTATAGTTAATGGGGTTTAAAAAACCAACTTATAGCTCTTGGGACCCACATTGCAGTAATCCCAAGTAGGGGTATACATGGGTATACCCAACAATAGATCACATCGTTGATGGTTGGCGAATCTGCAAAATCCTGAAGTAGCTGGCTTAATTATCCCAAAAATATCCAATTGATAAATAAACAAACACATTGAGGTTGTTGACTATCATTGTTCACAAGGTGACCCTTCCTCCAGTTGTCAGTATCTGTATAAGCCCATAGAACTAGTTCGATATATCCCCCTTTGAACCCATGAATTAATCCAAGTTATTTATCATCAATCAGCTAGAAGTTTCATGAAATCCCATGAAATCCCATTTTTTGGATATCTGTGTTAGCTAAATCCCAGAAACCAGGTATCCATTGTATCCCCCAATGAGTTTCAATCTTTCCACCATCCAGCGCGGTGACCCAAAAATCCAACCAGGTACTGCCCAATACCAATGCCTCCAGAGGGAACTCACTTCGTGATGAGTGCAGGGCTGGAAATGGACAGCGCCCCTTGGCCGCCTTGGCCATGGCATTTCCGTGGACGGTGGACCTGTGGAACCCATTGGGGAAACGGGCGCCCCGAACATTTTCAGACATGTCGTTGGAGAAAGATGTTCCAAAACTGGTCCATTTTTGGACTATAGTGGTTAATGGATGTTAATTGTGATGTTAATTTTGGTCTCTTCTTAACCATACATCCCCGCGCAAAAAGGTCATACCGAGTCGTACCAGTCATGTTATCATATCCTGTCGGCTGAGCCTACCATGTACTCGCCAGTTTGGCGTCACTGATGAAGAACCTGTTGTTTCCTGAATAGAAGAACCCCCCAATCAGTGACCTGACAGATTAGTTTTGCAATGAATCATTTCTTCAACCCATAAGACAGGTATACTTGATCAATCCTCAAGTACAAGAAAGTTTACTCAGATATCATTAAATGGCTAGGGATACAGGAATCTGCTAAAGATAAAACGACTATGTTTTCATTAAAACCCAAATCTTAGGCTTGAAGATACACCCGGCGGGGCTAATCCATATATCCAAAATACACATGTAAAACACATGGGTGAGCTGCAGCTACTTGATTGCATATTCGTATATACAAGGTGGTGCCCCCAAGATAGCTAAGTTGGTTTATAACTCTAACAACTATGGTTTATGGTACTTAGAACTATAGTTAATGGGGTTTATAAACCAACTTATAACTGGGGGGCACCACCTTGTACTGTGTGTATATATAATATATATATATATATTGTATACATATAGATACATATAGAATTATAAGTTGGTACTCTAACTAAACCTCCCTGATTTCAATTCCCTCGTTTTTTTTTCAAAAATCGCCAGCAACTTCACTGCCAGGGCTCAGAGCTCAGGTCTTGACCTTCGCCTGCGCCCTGGCGTATGAAGCCAACGTGGCCCTGGAGTATCCCCTGGAGCTCTTCTGCCTACCAGGCACGGAAAAAGCCAGGAAAAATGTGAGGGGAAGGGGCAGTAAGCATATTAACCATCACAAAAAGGCGGAGGTCACCCTTAAGAAATAGTGATTTTAGATGATTTTGGACGATTCTATATATAGCATTTAACTCATGAACATGGGGATTGAATGGGATTCTATCGATTTGAGAAACCAGAAAGGGGGGAGTTAGCCAGCAAAAGTGTTGTGCATAGAACCAAGAAACTGATCAGGAATAAACGCGAATGGAATATATCGGTGCCCCAGCCAGTTAGATGCTTTTTTGAGTAGAGTGACTTCTACTGTAGGATTTATGGTGGATATATCCATACTTGGATGGGCTTCCTTAAGACATGACATAGAAGCACCAATTAATTTTGGATTTGACACTTATTTTGAAGATGGATTTCATTCATTTCATTCGGATTTCAGCAACCAGAGATCACACATCATTAATATGTGTTTGACATTCATGGCATTTTTGGTGATTTTTGGTCAGGTTGCGGGGGTTCTTCCCTTTCCAATAGCTTTGGGTTGATGGTAGATATATCATCATATCTATATAGTTGATGGGGGTTATAAGATGTTATAAGACCTGATAAATATGTGTGTCCTTGTGTTTGTTTCTTGTGCTCTACATCAGTGTTCAGGGTCTAATTATAAACTCAGAACACTTGAGAAACGTCAAATTTTTGACATAGCTGGTAGTCAAAAACAGCACCCTTTGGTAAAGTAACAGTTCGACCCTGAACATAACAAATTCATAGTGGAAACGAATCTTCCAACCCGTATTTGCCAGGGTCGAACTGTTAATTTACTGGCGGGTACTTGTCTTGCCCAAGGTGGTCATGTTGACTTTTCAGTGACGATGAAAAACGCCTTAAACAGCGGGTCACAGATATGTGGTGTCATCCTACTGAACCTTACTAAACCATACTAAACAGGGGTTGGTAACTGTCCCATTTTGGGAATATTGGACATCACCTTATAGTAGCCATATGTAGCCATTATAGACCATATACCTAATGGTTGGGTGATGTTCAATGGGGACATTTAATGACCCATGCTAAAGCACGGTTGATATTGAGGGGTGTTCAATATGGGGGATGGGCTTCATATGGCTTGGTGAGTTGGTTTGGTAACCGTGGTAACCTTGATCTACGTAGGTGAGTTGGTGGATCAGGTTACCTATGAAATACCAGGTGCTCAAAGGATGAACATCCAGAAACACATGCAAACACATCACAGGATGGTGCCCCCCCCCCAGTGATAAGTTGCTTGATAAAGCCCATGAAAACTCTAGTCATAACTATGGTTTATGATACCTATAACTATAGTCAATGGGGGTTATCAAGCAACTATAGTCAATGAAGCCAACTATGGTCATATCATATCTATCATAAACCATAGAATTCAGCCACGAAGTTAGGCAACTGAACGCTATCGAACGGGGGGCCCCATCATGCAGGATCCTTATAGCTTGGGACCTACTGTAGCACTGATGAAAGTCTGCAGACAGTGCGGGAACGGACATCACATGACTTAGATGGGCCATGGGATTTTGCCGATTCCTGGGTAGTAACTGGGGATTCTTTACCCTCTATATCCCAATGAAATAATCCATTTACTATAGTTAACTAGTTAACTAACTCCATGGCCCATCTATATAAGTATTCCAATTATCCATGAAATAATCCATGGCTACTAACTAGTTTTCCCTAACTCCATGGCCCATCTAAGTAGTACAACGCGGGTGGCAAAACAGGCACTGCCAATGCGCTGATTGCAGGATTGGTCCGTCGTGATTGTGAAGCCACAGAAGGGGGTGATGTCCTACAAGGTGGTGCCCCCGGTCGATAGCTAAGTTGGTTTCTAACTCTAATAACTAGGACTTATGGTAGATATATCTATAGTTAATGTGATTATAAACCAACAAACATAACTTGGGGGGCACCACCTTGTACTGCTTCAGCATCGCTTCACTCCTTGTGGAATTTGGCCGCAGCAGGTCTGTTCGCATTCGCGTCTATTCGCTGGTCCAACACAGGAAAGTACCCGGCCTGGTAAACGTTTAACTATGGAAAATCACCATGCTATTAATGGGTAAATCAACTATTTCAATGGCCATTTTCAATAGCAAACTTAGCAAACTGAAAACGTTTACCAGAGGGTATCAACTGCCCTTCGTGTTGCTTCCCAGGAATGGAACATCATCCACTGATGGCTGGCTGTATATCCCATTATATTGGTGGTAATTTGTTGGCCTATGCCATATATCGCATTTATCTTCTGTGAAAATGTCATCAGTTTCTTGCTTCGCGTTGATGAATATTATGTATCTACCCCATCTTCCAACTACAGTAAGTAAATGTGCCAAAAGATACCTATAACTTAAATGATCACCTGTAACTCACCATGCAATCGCCATCAAAGCCCATTAAATCACTTTAAAATCAGCAATAAATCCCAGTAAATCGCATTAAATCACCATTTTCCTCCATGAAAAACTGCATCAAATCACCACGAACTCACCACGTTTTCTGCAGCGAAAATTCCGCGGAGGCGGCACACCTGGCGTGGGGCGATGGTCCACCAGAGATGGCAAGGGCGTGGATCCTGCGGAGTTCTTGAAGCTGGTTGGTGATTTGGAACATTTTTGATTTTCCCTTCATATAGGATCCATGTATGCTATATATGGGTTATATGGGAATGTAATGGGTGATGTGTAGATAATATAATCAAAACATATTTTTAATTTTCCACCAGTAAATCACCATGATTGTTGGCTAAACCACCATAAAATCATCATGTTCGTTGTTGGTTCAATCCCATAAAATCACCTTCAAATCCTACCCAACTGACTATGGGAATAATCAATAGTCATATTGGGAATAAATGGGAATATCATCATTTCTTTTTTTCACCAACCAGGAAGTGTCGGAAGATGTACAACTGGTGTCCGGGCGACCCAGCGGGGCTGGGTGCTGGGAATTGATGAGAGACCTGGGAGAGCGAAAGGCGCATGGTGAATGGTGAATGGTACTTAGATGGGCCATGGAGTTAGGGAAAACTAGTTAGATCTAGTTAGTAGCCATGGATTATGTCACATTGGGATTGTTTGGGGGTTAGTTATATCATATATCCCCACTTACTAACCATAAATCGCGTCAGCTTCCCATGGCTCATCGAAGTAGCGGGTGGAAACTCAAGGGACTGGGAAAAGCTGCAAAAAAAGCTTGGTGAAGAGTCTGTGATTGGTGGGACGACTTCCGACCTCGGAGAAGGTCCCCAAAAAAATCACGCTTGGTGTTTTTCAGCTTGACTCCATTGTCCTGATGTGTCATGATGAAATCTTCTGAAATCCCAATATTTTTTTTTTTTTATTGGGGATACAGCAGGATATTGATAGTTAAATCATGGGGAAATCAACACCATAACTTTCTTTGTTGTTTGTTACCCTCTGGTAAATGGCCATAGAAATAGTTGATTTATCCATTTTAAATAAGGTTGTTTGATATTTTTTGCGTATGTTTACCAGAGGGTATAATTTCATGAAAACGATAGAGATATCACCATTCATAGTGGATTTCCCATTAATAGCATGGTGACTGTTGATAGTTACAATGTGGTGCCCCCTAGATAGCTAAGTTGGTTTATAACTCTAATAACTAGGACTCATGGTAGATATATCGAACTAGTTAACGGGGTTTGTAAACCAACAAACATCACTGGGGGGCACCACATTGGTAAACTAACATAGCTATTGAAAATGGCCCAGTCGAAATAGTTGATTTATAGTTGATTTACCCATTAATAGCATGGTGATTTTTGATAGTTATGTAAACGTTTACCAGGCCGGGTCAATCCAATGACATCCACCATAACGTGGCTGCTGAAATCTCGACGGCCGAGGTCCCCGCTTGGCATTACTGGATGGCCGCGTGAGTTGGATGGCCCAGTGATCCATGGACGGCCGGGTCATGTTTTTTTAATGGGCCAAATAGCGATTTCATGGTAGGGATATCATGGTGGTTGGTGATTTGGAACATTTTTTATTTTTCCATATATATTCCATATATTGGGAATAGTAGCCCCAACTGACAAATATTTTTCAGAGGGGTTCAAACCACCAACCAGTGGTGGTTGGTCAGGTCACCAAATGGCTTTTTTTTGATCCCCCAAATGCTTGTATTTAGCCAAAAAAAGTGGTGAGTTAACCAAGAAGTATATAGTGGTAGAATTGGGATATAATGAGATGTTACTGTGAATGGAAGAAATCTTGCAGCAGTTCCAAAAGAATGTCCATATTTATCTCATGATCATGTCATGAAATTTATAGTGTTTCATGAGAATCCCAATCTGGTTGGTGGTTTGGAACATGTTTTTTCCCATTCAGTTGAGAATTTCATCATCCCAACTGACTTTCACTCCATCATTTTTGGGGTAGGCTCAAGCACCAACCAGCACTAGTTACCACAAGCGGTTTTTGGCGGATTTCGCAATCCCATCATGGGAGTACTTAGATGGGCCATGGGATTAACATGGATTAACTAACTGGGTAGTAACTGGGGATAGAACCCTCTATATCCCAATTCTAATCCATTTACTAACTAGTTTTCCCTAACTCCATGGCCCATCTAAGTACCTTGAAGGTATCATGGGAACACCAAGATGTCAGGATAGACCTGGATTTCATGAGATCATGGGAAAGATGTGCTTATTGATCATGGGAATAGTTATACCAACTATTAAAAAAAATGTGATTTGGGGAATGGTTTATTTTTGTTAAATACACAGTTGAAAACTATCATGTATGTTAAGTTGCTTACGGAGGGTTTGCCAGGGATCCACCAACGTTTCATTCCAAAGAAGCGTTTTGTGTGTTCAAGAGAGAGTACAAAACGCTTCTTGCGTTTTTTCCTGGAAATGATGCCAAAAGAACGCTTGTTTCAAAATTACATATCTACCATCACTGCAGTGAAAACTTGATGCGATTCTGACACCTCCTGATTGATCGCCCATGCTTGGTAAAAAACCTGAAAACCTGGTGAGAACTTAGTGAAAACCTGGTGAATTTCCAAAACCTGATGAAAGACCTGGTGAAAAAACCTGGTGGATTCACATTTTTTTTTGAAAACTTGGTGAAATTTGAAAACCTGGTGAAAACCTGGCGAAAACCGGGTGAAAACCCGGTGAATTCACCATTTTTTTTTGGTGAAAACGTGGTGAAATTTGAAAACCTGGTGAAAACCTGGTGAAAACCCTGGTGAATTCACCAAGTTTTTTTTGGTGAAAACTTGGTGAAATTTGAAAACCTGGTGAAAACCTGGTAAAAACCTGGTGAATTCACCAAGTTTTTTTTTGGGTGAAAATTTGGTGAAATTTGAAAACCTGGTGAAAACCTGGCGAAAACCTGGTGAAAACCTGGTGAATTCACCAAGTTTTTTTTTGGTGAAAACTTGGTAGAAAATTTGAAAACCTGGTGACAACCTGGTGAAAACCGGGTGAAAACCTGGTGAATTCACCATTTTTTTTTTTGTGAAAACTTGGTGAAAGTGGAAAACCTGGTGAAAACCTGGTGAATTCACGAAGTTTTTTTTTGTGGTGAAAACTTGGTGAAATTTGAAAACCTGGTGAAAACCTGGTGAATTCACCAAGTTTTTTTTGGGTGAAAACTTGGTGAAATTTGAAAACCTGGTGAAAACCTGGTGAAAACCTGGTGAATTCACCAGGTTTTTGAAAAATCACAAAATCAAAAATCAAGAAGCGTTTTGCACCTCTGAAATTCACCAAAAGAAGCGTTTTGAACATTTTTTTGGTGAAATTTATCCGTTTTGGCGGTGAATTTGAAGAAACAAATCACCAAGGTGACAACTTGGTGAAAACCTGGTGAAAACTTGGTGACTTCACCAGGTTTGGTTAAAACCTGGTGGATTCACCTGAAAACTGGTGAAATTTCAAAACTTGGTGAAAACCTGGTGAAAACCTGGTGATTCCACCAAGTTTTTTTATTTTGTGAAAACTTGGTGAAATTTGAAAACCTGGTGAAAACCTGGTGAATTCACCAAGTTTTTTTGGTGAAATTTCAAAACCTGGTGAAAACCTGGTGAATTCACCAAGTTTTTTTTTGTGGTGAAAAACTTGGGGATATTTGAAAACCTGGTGAAAACCTGGTGAATTCACCCGTTTTTTTTGGGCTCTGGTGAAAACTTGGTGAAATTTGAAAACTTGGTGAAAACCTGGTGAATTCACCAGGTTTTTTTACATAATTCTTGGGTAAAACCTGGTGAGATTTATAAACTTGGTGAACACCCTGGTGAATTCACCAAGTTTTTTTGTGATGAAAACTTGGTGATATTTGAAAACCTGGTGAAAACCTGGTGAGCTATTTCAAAACTTGGTAACTTGGTGAAAGCCTGGCGATTCTTTTAAACAACTTGGTGAAAACTTGGTGAACTGATTAAACTTGGACCTTGTCTTGGTGAAAACTGATGGAATCCTGGTGAATTTGCAAAACCTGGTGAAATCTTGGTGAATGCCAAAACCTGGTGAAAACTTGGTGAAAACCTGGTGAATTCACCAGGTTTTCACCAAACAAACGAAAGAAGCGTTTTGCGCACTGAAGGGTTCTGGTAAAACGCTTGTTGCATTCCACACCCGAAATAGTATAATGAAAACGCTTGTTGCCTTCCAAAATTAACAAATAAGCAACTTGACAATCATGTATGATACTGTATGATTCAATAAATCTACAATGTGGGGCCCCCTTGTGGTTTTTACCTCCCAAGAAAGGCACGTGTTTCCAGGCTTCGATTGTTCGATGTACTGTGGAAGAGATCCTGCACCAGTTGGCAACCGTTAGGTAACTATGAAACAGGTGATTTTTTTCATATACCAACTGGTGCAGGATTCCTTCCATCCACCGTATCTTATTTACCCTCTGGTAAACGTTTACAAAAAACTATGGAAAATCACAATGTTTTTTTGATGCGTAAATCAACCATTTCAAATTTCAACTGGGCTATTTTCAATGGCAAACTGTTAGTTTACCAGAGGGTATAAAAATTATCCACGATTCATCCATTATTGTTGATGTTTCCATTATCAACCACTATTAACTAGGTAAATCATCTATAAGTGGCCTCGTAAATGGCTCCGGTGTCCTTCACGTTTCGTTCTCTGCGGCCAACGTTGACCCTCTGAGAATCTTAAATATGGCGATGGGAACGGTGTTCCAGCCATGGTTGAAAAATCGACAGGTTCCCCAACACCAGGTTGATCCCACAAAAAATGACCATTTCTGTTGGTAACGCCCATGAAATCACCATGAAATCACCATTGGTAAACTCTCAAAACAAGGCGCTGAGTCGCTGAGAGTTGGATGTGGCGAGGCAATTTGGTGAACAACCGACAGCTGGGAAGCACTGCAGAACTCACCTGTGCCGTGCTTAGGGTGTGGGGGATGGTGAGGCCGGTTTAGGATATCGTTCAGTTGGTGAACATAACTCCAATAACTATGTCTTATGGGTGGTGTAACTATAGTTTGGTTTCTAGGTAAACTATGCTTTGTGGGGGAGTTAAACTATAGTTCATTGGCTTTATCAGCCAACAAACATCACTGAGGGGGAGCACCTTACATCAATTTATATACATGTTTCTGTGCCATCACCTTAGATCTGGAGAAAAAACACCGTTAAAGCGTTCAATAGATCTTGGTTCATAAAAGGTTAAATGGCTTACTGGTGCTAAACGTAGGGTTGCTGGATGGGTTGCTGGGGGTTGCTGGGATGATGACATTACTAGTGATGACTGGGATCATTCCCGAAAATTCCCTGCTACCCTCTGGTAATTTAACATAGCTATGGAAAATCATCATTTTCAATGGGTAAATCCACTATTTCTATGGCCATTTTCAATAGCTATGTAGCAAATTACCAGAGGGTAAGCACCAGTAAGATGGGTTTGCTCAACCAAAATTGTGGATAATCTTAGGAAAACCAAAGCGATCCATTTTTCTCTCGGCCTTCGCGGTGGCCCCCTGATGATGGTCGATGAAGAGGCAAGGGGCAGCAGAGAAAAAGCAGTGGAGGTGCCACTGATGGCTGTCAACATGGAAGAAGAGGATGATGTGGAGCCTCTGCAGGAGCTATCCTCTTTGAGAAAGTGTGGCTACTGCCACCAGAAGATGTATTTACGCAAGGGCCTATGCGCAAATCTGATGTGCAGTGCCTTTTACATGAACAATCCAAGGGCACCAGAGCTGCTGTGCGCCAAAGGCCCCACCCACCATGGAGCCAAATGGTCTCCAAGAGAATGGCAAAGCTCCTTAAAAGACAAAGTGGAGTGCAAGCAGCTCAGCATGGCCATGAATGAGTCCCTGAATGAATGGGGAGAAGACTTAGCACTCGAAATGCGCCAGCAGAAGGAAATTCCTGCCCCAATCCATCACGAGCCAGTGATAATTGAAGACCTGGAGTCAGGAGAAAGGGTTGAACATGCTCCCAAAGAACCTGAAGGTCCACCTCCCTTGAGTTCCATGACAGAAAGTTACCAGGAGGCCCTGACAGCTGCTGCAAATAAGAAGCGATCCAGAGGGGTGAAGAGACTCTTATAGATTAACAGAGGAAATCTGGTTGGCGGTGACTGGAACATGTTTTTCCCATCTAATGGAACATTATGGTAATAATACGATCATATAATGGTGATATTTTATAAATAATCAACTATTAGTTCTGGACAATTTAAAACGACGTCACCGACGTCACCCGGAAACAACGACCTAGCCTCAGAAATAAGCTCATCACCAAACAAGGGAAACTGAGGTCTTCAGCGCGTTCAGAAGCAAGTTCCTTATTTTTTTGGCTTTTCTATGGGCAGCTACGGCTGGAAAAATCTGTTTTAAGCGGCAAAGCTTGGACAAACAAAAAGATCCCAGTTTACCAAACTAGGAAACTGAGGTCTTCAGCGCGTTCAAAAGCAAGTTCCCTATTTTTTTATCTTTTCCATGGGCAACTGCGGCTGGAAGAATCTGTTTTAAGCGGTAAAGCTTGGACAAACAAAAAGATCCCAGCTTATCAAACTAGGAAACTGAGGTTTCCAGCGCTGCAGAAGCAAGCTCCCTATTTTTCTAGCTTTTCAATGGGCAACTACGGCTGGAAAAATTTGTTTTAAGCGGCAAAGCTTGGACAAACAGAAAGATCCTTGTTTGTCAGACTAGGAAAATGCGTTTTTGGAAAGGTTTGGGAGTTGATTTTTGATGAAGACTAGGTTTGGGAGTCTCAAATTACAGGAAAAATTGTCAAACAGGCTGCGCGAGCGTGTTTGTGGGCACCGGGGGTGGTTCCGGACCAGGGCGGGTTCGAGCCCCTGTGCGTTTCAAGCCTCCCGGCGCCAAAGCCGGCATTTGTGAGCGCGGGGGGTTTTTGGGGAAGACGGTCAAGTCAAACAAAAATGGTGTTTTTTGAGACTTAGGAATGCCAAGTACCTCATGCATACTTGATGTTTCTCACAGTGGGAAACTGAGGTTTTCAGCGCGCTCAGAAGCAAGTTCCTTATTTTTCTGGCTTTGGTCTGGGCGGCTACGGCTGGAAAAATCGGTTTTAAGCGGCAAAGCTTGGACAAACAAAAAGATCCTAGTTTACCAAACTAGGAAACTGAGGTCTTCAGCGCGTTCAGAAGCAAGTTCCCTATTTTTCTAGCTTTTGTCTGGGCAGCTACCGCTGGAAAAATCGGTTTTAAGCGGCAAAGCTTGGACAAACAAAAAGATCCTAGTTTGTCAAACTAGGAAACTGAGGTCTTCAGCGCGCTCAGAAGCAAGTTCCTTATTTTTCTGGCTTTGGTCTGGGCGGCTACGGCTGGAAAAATCGGTTTTAAGCGGCAAAGCTTGGACAAACAAAAAGATCCTAGTTTACCAAACTAGGAAACTGAGGTCTTCAGCGCGTTCAGAAGCAAGTTCCCTATTTTTCTAGCTTTTGTCTGGGCAGCTACGGCTGGCAAAATCGGTTTTAAGCGGCAAAGCTTGGACAAACAAAAAGATCCTAGTTTGTCAAACTAGGAAACTGAGGTCTTCAGCGCGTTCAGAAGCAAGTTCCCTTTTTTTCTCGCTTTTGTCTGGGCAGCTACGGCTGGCAACATCGGTTTTAAGCGGCAAAGCTTGGACAAACAAAAAGATCGATCCTAGTCTTTCAAGCTAGGAAACTGAGGTCTTCAGCGCGTTCAGAAGCAAGTTCCCTATTTTTCTAGCTTTTCCATGGGCAACTACGGCTGGAAAAATCGGTTTTAAGCGGCAAAGCTTGGACAATCAAAACGTTGCGTTTATTTTACAGAACATAGCCAGGATGCAGCAAATTAAGAAATCAAAGCAGGTCCTGTTGTCGTATTAGGCCGACGTAAAAGAATTTATTAATTCAGACGACGTCAATATTTCAGCGGTAAAATTATTCGAAATAAGCGACGACCTGCAACATATTGTAAATTTTGCAGATTAGTTGGTGGTTTGGAACATTTGGATTATGTTTTCCCATCATATTGGGAATGTCATCATCCCAATTGACGAACTCCATCATTTTTCAGAGGGGTGGCTCAACCACCAACTAGAAATAATTTGATTGAATTCTTGGTAAATAACGACTTCGCTGCGATGCGATCTCACTGGAATGATGGTGTCACCTGATGGGTAATCATCCTAATGTAACCTTATTTCAGGTCACTGTTTTCTTGTAATTTACACAGATTGCATAGTCTTCCTGGTTATGGATCACTAGTAGAGCGGGATAACTGGATTGGCAGTGATGAATTGATAGGTGGATAACTTAAGGATTAATAGTGAATGATTTCATGGCATCCCACTTGTATAGTGTAGAGTATCCACATTAAGCATATGAATTAAGCATGTGAATTTTTATCCATGTCAGATTAAGGGGATATCCCCATCCGGATTAATGCGGTATATAGCAGTACATAGATTCAAAGTATGCACACCCTGCGGTAATTACATACATCTGGGTAAATTAGAACGACCGAACCCTGTTCTAACCTTGGAATCATTGTTTACCCTCTGGTAAACGTGCTAACTTTCTTGTTTGGATCTTAGACATAGTCAGAAATTCATATGGTATGCCCGGATTCTCCCCATGTCTCCCGCCTGTCTCCCAAACAATTTCCTTTGAAAGGGGTCCTCGGGGGTGAAAGGGGTCCTGGACGCGCCGCGCGCGCGCCCAAAAGGTCTCAAAATTGAAGCTATTTTGGCGCGTGCGCGCGCGGCGCGTCCAGGACCCCATTCACCTTGAGGACCTCTTTCAAGGGAAATCTTGTTCCCAGCGCAAATCTGGGCACTCATGCTAACATAAATTTGTTCCTACCTGGTGCCACAGAAGGCATGTCTTTGATCCTCTGGAACCCGGAAAACACACATGAGAATGTCCCAAGGGCCCCAAACCTTCAAATTTGGCCTCTTTCTGTTCAATTGCATTTATGAAATTTTCAGAAGAAATCACAAAATCTTACACATTTCATAAATTTTGATAGTTTTCATAAATTTTCATAATTTTCACAAATGTTCATAATTTGGTTAAACAAATAAATTTTCAAAAAACATAAACTTGACGCCGCCCTGCCAATGTGATTTGCAAAAAACACTCAACACGACAAACTTGGACGCGTTTGGACCTGCTGTGTTTTCTGGATGCGGGTTCCCGCTCCATTGTTGTTGCAACTTTTTTGTGGATGCGGGTTCCCGCTCCATTGTTTTGCTGTCAGATGCTTGTTTTCTGTCTATGCAATGCAGCATTGGTTATTGATCAGTTTTTGGATCTCACTGGTTCTCACCGTGGCGCTGTGTGCCCCATTCCTTTTTTGCAATGCTTTGCCCGTACTGCCATGAAGTTCAGTGCAAAAAGCTCTGGACGCCTTCTCAGTGGGCCGCATGTGAGACAACCTTGGGAAACGCTGACGGATGCAAGTGTTGCAATGTGATGCCGGAGGCCGACCAGCTGAGGCTTCTGGAGTCCATTGAATGGCGTATGTGGTATATCGCAGAACCAGCCTTTCAATCCAACTTCAATGCCCTTGTGAAGCATGTTCATGCCATGCCTCCCGCAGACAAGCAACGGCTTCATGATGGGTACCACAACAATGCTGGGACTCAGCCCCAATGCGGAGAGAAAATCACAGGGCGGCTCTGCATGATTTTGGCCCCGGAGTTTTGCCAGGAGTTACATAACTCTGGAAAATCACCATGCTATGAAAATGGATACTATTTCGACTGGGCCATTTTCTATGTCGCAAACTGTAAACGTTTACCAGGGGGTATCAACTGCCCATCGTGTTGCTTCCCAGGATTTTTTTTGGAACATCAACCTTTGATGGCCGGTTGTAGATCCCACTGATGGCTGGTGCAATGTTTACCAGAGGGTATACAAATTATCCACTATTCATCCATTATTGTTGATGTTTCCATTATCAACCATTATTAACTAGGTAAATCATCTATAAATCATAAACCATTGTTCTTGGAGATATATGGATATAAACATGGATATAAACTGGTTCGATATCTCACCTATAAACATCTATAAACCATAGATATCTCACCTATAAACATCTATAAACCATAGATATCTCATCTATAAATGGCATCCCCCAAATATGGTCCCCCCAACAATTCAGGTGAGTGAAAAAAACGTTGCCGGGGATGCCGGGGATGCCCATAATGGGTGACTTGTGATGTGAACTCATTGGTTGTGAAAACCCCCATGAATGCGAAATCTGCTTGGTGGTGACTGGAACCATTTTTTTCCATCTAATGGAACATTATGTTCATAATACTATATAGAATGGTGATATTTTATAAATAATCAACTATTAGTTGGTGGTGACTGGAACATGAATGGATTATGACGAATTGTATGATTTTCCAATCAGTTGGGAATGTCATAATCCCAACTGACGAACTCCATCATTTTTCAGAAGGGCTGAAACATGTTGAAACCACCAACCAGTATATAGTAGTGATTTGCGTATCATAAGCCATAGTTATTGGAGTTATGTTTGCCCACGTAGCTATCGTAAACAGGGGCCCCACATTGCATTGTACGTAGTTCATCCTTTTCAAACATGGTGTTTGCTCATCGCATTGAATCCGAAAGCTCTGATCTGATCCTTGAAGTTCCTCCGGTGTAGATCCTTAATGTTTGAAACATCCTCACATACGGGGATAGGTCAAAATCTATTATTACCATATTTGAGGGAATGACAATTCATCCACCAGCTAATTTAAGGTACCTAGGGTGCCAGGGTTGTGACTCATAGCCATGTTGCCCTTGCCTGGTACATGCTTGCCTGGTACATGATGGCTTCCTACAACTCTTTCGCCAAAGAATCCTATGAGGTGGTGCCCCCGGTCGATAGCTAAGTTGGTTTATAACTCTAATAACTATGACTTATGGTAGATATATCTATAGTTAATGGGATTATAAACCAACTTATAACTGGGGGTGCACCACCTTGTAGGGTTTATCGTCGACATATAGATACTGGGGGTTGTAAACCAACAAATATAACTGGGGGGGCCCACCCTGTAGATATATCCACCATAAACTCAAGAGAGAATCTGCAGATATAAACCAACAAAATGTTCCCTGACTGAGCACCAGCTTGCAACACATTCCATTGCATCACCATAAACGAAAAAACATCATCTCCCAAATGGTTTGTCTTCTCTCCCGTTTAAAACCCATAATCCACCAAAATTCGAATTTTCCATTAAGTTAAACACCACCCCAAATCATCCCATATATAGGAAAACCATCAATATACCCAGTAAGCCACATGGCTTCTCATTTTCATAGCGTATCTGTCAACTCGGCCTGGCTGCCATTTTGTCTTCCCAGGTGATCCCGGCTTGGAGTATCTTGGTGTTGTGCGGTGGATGGATCAGGGTCAAACCGATGGCCGTGGGATGGCCCCCAAGAACCGATGGAAATTGGAGCTACCTACAAGTCGTGTGGTGCCCCTGGTCGATAGCGTTCAGTTGGGGGCCACCAATCACGCCAATTTCACTATGGTTTATGAATGTTTATAGGTGATATAATATATCTATAGTCTATAGTTAATGGACTTATAACTAAATTATAGGTGGTATAACTATAGTTACTGGTGCTTATAAACCAGCAAACATAACTGGGGGGCCCCACATTGTACCATATATTTTGGGCCTATTTTTGAAGCCTAAATTTCAGGGAATCTCCACCCCCGATTCATATGGCCAAAAATATGATACGTTTACGTAGTGGATCCTTTGTGAAAGTCCAATGGAAATGATTTAATGTGGTTTTAACCAACCGGAGGAGATTGGTCAACCGACTGGTCAGATACTACTATAATAGTACTTTCTTATTTTGCTATGGTAAAATGGACTAACCAGGTAAAAATGATATCTTTTGAGTATCTAAGGTTCATCATGAACCGAGGACCCGCAGTTTTTTTTGGTCGCAATAAGAGAAATAAAAATGGAATATCTATAGGAAACCCACTCGAAATTTGGAATTTATAGGGAACACGTTCTTTTTGGAAAGGGTTAACCTTTGACTGAAGGATGTCTCCTCCATATTTATGGTATAGCGCATGGATATTTTTTGGGATTATTGGGATTAGGACTTCACATGGTTGGGTTGAATGGGATTTGCTGAGTCACTGGTGTCGGGCAGTTTCCCAATGGGAATCTGCTACTTGAATCACTTGAATCTCTAAGGATTTTTGCTGGGGTTCCTTAAGCAAATCCAAGTTTAGCGTGCAAAAAAATACCTGTTTGCTGGGTACCAACGTGCCTGTTTCCAATCTCTGACACACACCCAAGTGACCAAGTAACAGATGTTTGGCATTACTACGTTTGACTACCAGAAAGCCCCCATTTTCTGGTCACAACGTGCCAGTGGCAAACTGCTTGGTGGTTTCAAACATTTTTTATTTTCCACGATATATGGGATGTCATCCTTCCCATTGACTTTCATATTTTTCAAGATGGTTATTGCACCACCAACCAGCAAAGATACAACTTCATTTCGGGAATTTCAGTCCAACGAATGCATTGTCTTTTGGGACCCGAGTCGACTCCCTGGGGTTCCTGACCCACAAGTGTCAGGGTTGCATAGGTTAATGATGGCCATACAATGTGGTGCCCCCTAGATAGCTAAGTTGGTTTATAACTATAATAACTAGGACTTATGGTAGATATATCTATATATAGTTAATGGGATTATAAACCAACTTATAACTTGGGGCGCCACCTTGTAAGGATGGAACATTTGGTAAATGAAAGTGAATGAAACATATGTTTCTCCAGGAAGATATTGAATATTTTTTACAAAATGTCCATCAGAAAAAAAAAAACTCAGACTGGGTCAACCAGATATGCTGAGATACTCTAGATCTTTAGTAAGTACTTTATAAACTATTGCTATGGCACATGTTACCAAGTCAGCCAACTGTGGGGAACCTTTCATGAACCTACTTCCAAGTCTGGAACCAATACAGGTCCGATTCTTTCCATGATCGCTATGTCAATTGGACCAATATCTATGTACCTGCTTTGTCAATCTATGTCATGTATACATGTGTATACATATTCAATTCCCATGGTTTACTGGAGGGCCAATTCGATTGATCAACAGTTTGTCAGCAGCAGTCTTTGACCTTGCCTCAAAGTGGTCCAGTGCAACAACCTGTTCAAACCTAGAGGAGTACAGAAAAATCAACAGAAGGTCACAAGTTCACGGCCAGCTTTGCCCGCTTCCACTATTCCGTGTGAGCATAGGGATCGCTCACGAAATTTAGGTCAATTTACGACAAGCGCGATTCAGGCACACCTGCGGGCCCTATACCCAGCTGTATCTGGAATTCCTCAATAGTCAGAAGTGGAGCCTCCTGAGTGAAATAAAAGGCTCTCAGGTCCCACGTATTGCTTCAAGTGCAATCGCCCGCCTCCATACGGCAGCGACTTCTACGTTGTTGCCATTCCCACATCGAGCGGCCACGCTGCAGCAGCGACCAAATGCAAGACCTTGCCGTCAAGGGAGCTGAAAATGAGATTTTTGGGTATCTTAGATTCACCACACTTAAGGCCATAAAATATATTAGTTAGAACTGGTTATAAATGGGATTATACATTCTGTAAATGAGGTTATAAGCACTTGCAACTGGTATTTCGGGCCATGATGGTTAGATATGGTGAGATACTGTGGATGGTTGCGAAATCCTGCACCACCTTGGCTGGTGGAAACCCTATAAACAATGGGATACACCATCTATTAACTGGTGCAGGATTTTGCAAACATCCACAGTATGTACTAGGACTTAAAGCTTTTGCTATGGCAAATGTACATTCACCAGCCAAAAAAAAACGATTTTGGGTATCTACGATTCACCATGCAAAGGTCGTTGAGGCCACTGATGTTTTATCGGCTCAGGATGAAGTTTGGTGACTCGGTACTGGGTCAGATCACACTCCAGGCGAATGGTTATGCGGCGATGGGAGTTACAAAAAACTGCACGGTTACCGGTGGTGCCCTGCAAGTTTTATGTGAACGTTGGTTTTATAATCCCATTAACTATAGAGATTTATCTACCATTAAGTCCTAATTATATCCAATTATTAGAGTTTTAATCCAACTTAGATATATATATATATATATCATAAGGTGGTGCCCCCCCCCCAGTTATAAGTTGGTTTATAATCTCATTAACCATAGATATATCTACCATAAGCCCAAACGTGAAATTAGAGTTAGGTGAGCCCCAACTGAACGCTATCATAAATCAGCTATAAATTCAATGAAACCACCATTTTCCTATGGTTTTTCTATGGTTTTCCTATCGACTGGGGGCACGTTCGCATTTTTGCCGAATTCCTGGCGTTCGCTCGCCGCATCTCGGACCAGTCTGCCATGTCAATCACCGGGGCAAATTAACCATTAATTCAACATTAGCCATTAATCACCACCATTAATCACCATTAATCAATGTTAATATCACCATTGACCTTGGTTAACAACCAGACAGAATTCTATACCCGGCCTGGTAAACGTTTAGAAAAAACGATGGAAAATCACCATGCTATTAATGGGAAAATCCACTATTTCAATAGCAATTTTCAATAGCTATGTAACAAATTACCAGAGGGTAATTCAACCACAGTAAGGGGCCTAGTTCGTGACTTCTCATAACTCTGAGAACTTGGGTTTATCAGGAGTATATCTATATCTGGTTGGTGGTTTGGAACATTTGATCTTTTTCCATATATTGGGAATTTCATCATCCCAACTGACGGACTCATATTTTCAAGGTTGATGCATGTTTATGGATGTTTATGGGGGGTATATCATATATTTGTCAGTTGAATGGGATAAAGACCTCAAAAGGCCCCTTGTTCCTTCCGTACTTAGATGGGCCATGGAGCTACTCAACTAGTTAGTAAATGGATTATAATTGGGATTTTTTGAGGTAAAGAATCCCCAGTTACTATACTTAGTTAATCCCATGGCCCATCTTTCCGTACAGCATGCATTTATTGGGCAGGTGAACTGCACCATTGGAACCACCGCTGGTGGAATTTGGATGTCTCCTGATGGCTCCTGGGACGAAAAGCCATGGCTGGGGTAAAAGCATCAAATCTGGTGATAAGTTGAGGAAAGGAATACTGGCAGACAATTGACTCTTTGATGCTTTCATGTTTGCTTGAATTACCCTCTCTGGTATACAAAAAACTATGAAACATCACCATGCTATGAATGGGTAAATCAGCTATTTCGACTGGGCCATGGCTTCAACAGCAAACTGTAACAGCCATTACCAGAGGGTACATCCACATAAATCCCATTTACTTCCCATTAAATCCCATGAAATCACCATTTGATCCCATGATCCCTGGTGATTGTTCTATTCAGGGCCTCAAATCACCACATGGATCCGGATATCCACCGTTGCAGCCATCCGACTGCAGGTGTTTGTGTCTGTCATACCCAAGTGCGCCATGTATGGTGTATTTAGCTGCTTTAAATCATTTTTGCATGCATATAAATGTTGATAAAAGATGGGACAAGAAAAACAACATAGACGCAGCGTAAGGTATTCTATTTGGTGGACACTGCGAAGTCTCACTGTGGTAAGCATACCTGGTGGCATTTTAACACATAGAATCATATATTTGACTTGCTACTCCCCCTAGAGAAATTTTGTGTGGGTCAAAACCACATATCCTCAACATTTGGGTTCTGACGAGCTGTTGGCTCATCACTGTAGTCTGCAGCAAGCTCAATAGACCAAGCCAGGATTTCAGGACTCCCTTTGGAAAGGTGTTTTTTGCCTAACGGTTGTAATCCACATCCACCATACTTGGTGGCTCATCCCACAAATCCCTGGGTTATATCAAGTTATATCCCTGGTCTAGTGAGATAAGTAGTGTGAATCCACTCAAAAAAACTGGGGTGAACTAACCTACTTAGGATTCGTGGGATGAATCAGTGACCTTCTCGATTTCAGGTCAAGACATGGCGGGACAGCTGCAATGCAGCCCCTTGAACTATTGGTGTCCACCCGTCACGGCTTACACTATCGTGCCCCTCGGCTGGGTGTTTTTTGGTTGATCTGGGTCATGGGTCATCGGAAATTGGTGGGTACAAAGTGGGGCCCCGAAGATAGCGTTCAGTTGAGATATCAGTGGCTTAACTATGGTTTATGGTACTTATAACTATTTAATGGGGTCTATAAACTAATTTATAATTGGGTGGCCGACATTTTAGGCCCCAAAACGGGCTGAGTTTTGGTGGCCTTGAATTTGGGAAACTGATCATGTCAACATATGTCAACCCTGGATTCATAAACCCCAAACCGGTTACCCTCCGGTAATCTAACAGTTTGCTATTGAAGCCATGGCCCATTGAAATAGTTGATTTACCGAACTTAAAGAGGTGATTTTCCATAGCTATGTTAAATTACCAGAGGGTATTTGGGGTACCATGTAAGTATCAGATGATCAATGAATATCACTATTTTGAGAGCACCCCATGATGAATAAACCGTGGTTTATACCTCCGGGGTTGAGCTCTTGCTGACCTCGCGAATTGGGGTGCTTGGAATGGGTGATTTCGGGGATGGATCAAAAGCTATTCCCAATTATACCACTGGTTGGTGGTTTGGAACATTTTCTATTTTTCCATATATCGGGAATAATAATCCCAACTGACTTTCATATTTTTCAGCCGGGTTGAAACCACCAACCAGACTTGTTGATGAAGTCGCGGTTTTTGGTTCAAACCCATGGAATCACCTGGGGAATAACCTATACCATATGGAGCCTGATATGACTGGGGAATGAGCATCCATCAACCAACCATTTTAGGTAGGGTAGGGTGCCAGGGTTTTGACTCAGATGATATCCACGGTGTTTGGTCCGAAAAACATGAAACCATGGAGCGATAAACATGTTGCTTTGGAGATTGACACTTTATAACCCTTGTTTGTGGGCACTGCGAGTGTCTAGGTTCAATATATTCCATGATATCCCCACGGTATTCCCGTTTTAGGCTCAATATATTCCATGATATCCCCACTGTATCCCCGTTTTGGTTGATTAGATAATAATGAGGATATAATGGTTCAATGGTTGGTTGATTATAATGTTGATGATTATACATGATTCTATGTTCATTATAACCCATATGTTCTTACATATGAAATTCAAGTAATTTGTCCAGAGCAAGCCTTGACGACGAGGAATTCGGAGTATCTGGAGATGGATCCCGAACTTCGCACAGCCACAGGGTTGCAGTTCTTGTGGCTGGAAACTTAGGGGAATCCATTTTCCCAGATAGTAGGCCATATCATTTGCATATAATTTATATATATATATATTGAATTCTATTGTATGTCTTATTTGTAGTATATATATATAATTACAGGAGTGGTATTGGGAATTTAGATTGCCATTCCACACCGTCCACCAGTGCTGCCTCGAAACACTGATGGCTTGCCCAAGCGTGGCTTCTTCATGCCGCCCATCGTTAATTACTTGGATGGTTCCTCCAATAAATGATCAAATAGACTGTAATTGAATATTTAATCATAACTTGGATCATTACTTGGTTACAATCCATGAAATATACTGTACAATGTGGCCCCCCCAGTTATAAGTTGGTTTATAAACACCATGAACTATAGTAGCATAAACCATTGTTATTGGAATTATAATCAACTTAGAGCTATCTTGGTGGCCCCACATTGTACCAATTATATCCAGTTATCCAGTGGGGAAGGGTTTGATCCAGTGACTGGCCATTGGCACTTCATTTGTCCTACAAGGTGCTTTGGGCAAATGCCGTTCACATGATTTACCATGATTTACCAATTTTCACCCAGCTAAGCGCTGACGCATATCCCATGTACGTTTATCCAGTGATTATCCTAGAGGAAGTGCCCCCTAGATAGCTAAGTTGGTTGGGCTAAGTACGATAACCAGGGTTTATGGTGGATATATCTATGATTATATTAAATACAATTAATTATAAACCAAGTTGAAACTGGAGAAGGGGCCACTTTCTATCTCCATTTAGCCTAGCTGTAAACGAAATGACCTCTCGTTAGGGGGGTCCCTTCCTGTAGTAACACCAATCATGTACCCTCTGGTAAACTAACATAGCTATGGAAAATCACCATGCTATCCATGGGTAAATCCACTATTTCTATGGCCATTTTCAATAGCTATGTTAATTCAGCTGTAAATCCCATGAAATGCCCATGTTCCTATGGTTTTCCTATGGTTTTCCTATGATTTTCCTATGGTTTTTGTTAATTTACCAGAGGGTATTGTACAAGCTGGTGCCACTCATACATACCCAATGAACCTTTTGATCGGCCAACCTGGGCTAGGACCCAGGGGACTCAGGACCCGGGCACCTGGTCATCATCTTTCACCACTAGAGTTTAACCTTAGTTAATGAGGCCACCTATAGATGATTTACCTAGTTAATAGTGGTTGATCATGGAAACATCAACAATAATGGATGAATAGTGGATAATTTTTATACCCGACCTGGTAGTCACGTTTACGGTTTGCGACATGGAACATGGATGAGAATGGCCCATAGAAATACTGGATTTACCCATTGATAGCATGTCCATTCTCATCCCATGGAAATTATTCATGGAATGTATTGCAGACCTTTTTTGGGAATCATGTTTTTTTCATCCAAGTGTTGCAACTGTTGGAACATACCTTTATTCTAGAGGCAACATTCCCATATCCAGAAAATCTTCGCATACCATGTTTTCATCGTACTCCAGACCTGGGTTTTGGTATGTTACTTTGATAGGCATTTCAGCTCAATCTGGAGGGAACAGTTGGGCCACGGCGAATCCACTGAATGCCCCTCCACAGCTTTCTATCCCCTATGTCGTTCCAAAGCAGCTGTGGACGTTGAATGAATTGAAGGCTGCTTTGATAAGGAAGTTTCTTCATTTGTCTACCGAAGAAGGACAGGGTTGTCAAGGGTAACGTTTTTAAAGGTTGGCTGAGTAAAAATTAGAAAGTTTCTTCCCCGGGGCCTCACCCAAGGTGAACTCGGAAAAATAGAACCCAGTGGTGTGCCCCTGGAAGTTTGGGCTGGCTTTGGGATTGGAATTTTGGTTCTGGCCCCGAAATTTCCCTATGTGGTCTCTATACCAGCCACGCATACTCGGAATTCTTCGCATTCCACAAATTCTTCGCACTCCAGCGAGGGCATCGCACTCCACAGCTAGGGACGTGCACATACTATAAAATCCACGCACTCTGCAAGATCTTCGCACTCCATAAAATCTTCGTACTCGGTGATTTTTCGTTTTTTGCGTTTTTTTTTTTGTTGTTTTTTTTTTTCGTTTTTTTTTTGGCTAAAATCGCCTGGAATCACGTTTTCTGGAATATGGGCAAGGTAGCGGTTTCGCGTGAGACGTCTGTAGTTTCACATACTATCGCATTCCAGGCCATTTTGGCCAAAAATGACCCCCAAAAAAAAAGAAAAAAAAACCTCAGCAGGGTGAAATGTGATAATTTTCTGGTATATGATGGAAAAAACTGGTGTTGGATCCATGGGGAAGGTCGAAGGGGGCCACGCATACTGTTTTATTTTCGCATTCCAGAAAATTAGCGCACTCCAGGGGTGGCATCGTACTCTATCGGTGGAATTAGTTTGCACGGAAGAAAACAGGATCGTCGATGATTTGTGTTCCGAGATCCTGTTGTGCAGGGCTCTTTGCGGGGCCACAAAGATGTCAAGAAAGATGGGGATGGCGCTGCTGGTGAAAGGCCAGCCAAGCGTGCCAGAACATAAGCTTAAAGCTTATGAATTGGGTTTTGAGATCCTGAAAAGTGTAGATGACAAATTCCCATAAGAACATTATGAATCCATTTTTGGAAAGCTCAACATTATTAATTATGACATTTCCAGAAATTGTTGAAAGTAAGGATCTTCTTTGCGGAAGAACATGTGCAGTCGACAACGTAGGTGCCAGAAGAAAAGGAGTACTTGGCAAACTGTATGAAATACAAATTTCACCTGAAAGGGGTCTTCGCAATTCCCTGAAATTTCCCAGCTATTTTGGCATGGAATATGTTCGGCCCTGGAATATGGGCAAGAAATTGCTAGATTTATATACCTTTTTATCATTATATGTAATTATATATGTACATATATATATGTATATCTATATATATTCCAAGAATAGATTGATATATATATATACACATATTGAGATATATATATATATATATATATATGATCCCATGTTGATAAGTATCATACGTCCCCGCTTTTTGTCCGTCACCAAGATCAGCTACAGCTCACCATGGCGCGCCTATCGCAGCACCGCCACCGTGCGATGTCGGGAGGCGAGACGAAACCCAATGGGACCCCTGTCTGTGTCTGATGGATGGATAACATCTGGTAATTCAACATAGCTGTTGAAAATCACCATTCTTAATGGGAAAATCAACTTTCTCTATTGGCCATCTATTCAATAGCTAACTGTCAGAAATTACCAGACGGTATATTCCATCAATCACCATTACTAACCATTACTGACAATCATTAACCATTATATAAATCACCATGCTATTAATGAGTAAATCAGCTATAAATGGCAATTTTCAATAGTTATGTTAGTTGAAAATTACAATCTATATACAATAGCTAGCTATTAGAACATTGGTTTACCCATTAGAAAATATATGTATTGAAATACTCTCATGGAGTGAGTAATTACAATCCAGAGAATCTATACAATACTATAGCTATAGGAAAGGCTATAATATACTCTAATTGATTTTCCCATTCGAAAACACAGTTTTCCATAGCTATGTTAGTTCCCATCGCCGTCCTCGGGCTGGGGTGGGACATGTTAACGTGTCACGGATAGCTCACGGCATTTTTTTCTCCGTGAACTCTGGGGTTGGGGTCGGTTTTTAGTATATGTAGTATATGTCGATGATGATCATGTTTACATGTTATATATATATATTATATATATATATGTTTCTTTTAGTGGTTGTTGTGTGTGTTTTGTGTGTGTGTATCATTGAATTATTATATATATATATATTATGTGTTTTTGAAGCACTTGGCAATCCGCGTGCAACGCTCGCGAGAGAAATTCAGAGGCGCCCCTAAGTGACCAGTGTCCCAGAGACGACCCAGGCGTTTTTCAGGGTGAAACCGATCTCCCGCAAGCTTGTTTGGAGTACGGTGACGTGCACCCTGAATTGACCCAGATTGGTTTTTTTAATTGCCTCAGATGTTTAGTGTCCGTTTAGTATTTGTCAAACTCCATGGAGGTGTGTTAATAATCATCCATTGGTGTCACCAGTTGAATTTTTCAAGTTGGACAACGCTTATCCTAACAATCATAGTTTCTTACCTTCTGAAAGTAGTTTTACCAATTTAGTTATCCATTTGTGTGGGTCAACTGAGGCTCATACAAGGTGGTGCCCCCCAGTTAGAAGTTGGTTTACAAACCCCATTAACTATAGATATATAAATACCATGAGTCCTAGTTATAAACCAACTTAGCTATCTAGGGGGCACCACATCGTATAATGCCCAAATTTGAGGCATGGATTGTGCTCCAACAGATACTTGGAGGTTTACGGCATTGACCTTTAGCACATAAAATAGGTGGTGCCCCCGGTCGATAGCTACCCTCTGGTTATTGCTGACATAGCCATGGTATAGATGGCCCATAAAAATAGATGGTTTACCTATTAATAATGGTGGATTTTTCCATGGCTATGTTAAATAACCAGATGGTAAGTTGGTTTTTAATTTTAATGACTATAGGACTTAATAGGACTTATGGATTTATGGTAGATATATCTATAGTTCATGGGATTGTAACTAATTTGTAAGGTAGATGTAGTAGATATATCTATAGTTCATGGGATTGAAACTAACTTATAACTGGGGGGGCACCACCTTGTGATATCCCAACGAACATCTATGGAAATCTTCATGTATCCCCATGAACCCTTGCTAGGAGCTGATTCAACCTCTGGCTGAGTATATCATTCAATCATGTTTTCGGTATAAAGGAAACAATGTTTAGCTACAAAGTGGGGCCTCCTTCCGTTTATATCTTGATTTATAGCTCCATCCAACTATAGAGATACATCCTCCTCAAGTCCCAGTTCTGTAGCTGTAAACCAACTTAGCTATCTCTAGGGGGCTCCGCATTGTCAGTCAGCCTGAAATTTCAGTTTCTTTCTAGCAGCCAATGTCCTCAGCCAAACTCAAACCCAAACTTGCAAGTGAAATCATTAAAACTCCACTGTGGTTCGCAAGCTACGGAAAATGTTAGATGAAATGTTTCTGAAATTGCAACCAGAAAAATGACGTTACCACTTTGGAGTTCTTATGGACAATTGCGGAGGACATCACGCTATCTCATTCAAGCTCTACGTTACTAACGTTTTCTAACCACCGGCCAACATGTCGCCGTTTAGAATCACTATTCGTTCCAAGTTCCATTCTCAAATGAGTTTTTATTTTGTTCGTTTACATCACTGAAATCGCATTTGCTACCCATTGAAAGCACATAACATCATCATATCTGCTAATCAAATTCCACTTCTTGCCAGCACATTTCCACCATTCAGCTCAAAAATCACCACTTCCCATCATGTTTCCACCATTTTTTCCAGCTCAACTCACCATTTCCCACCCCAAAAGTACCATTTTTCCCGCAGGAACTCCGCCGTTTCCGGCGCCAGGACCGGCTGATGCTGCACAGCTACGGTGACTCGGAGCTGGTCTGCGGCCTCGATGCGGCCGGCACCGGCGGCGCGTGGCGAAGTCCCAGGGGGATGCTGGCCATCACCAAGCACCATGGATGGAGGGAATTTCCTGAAAATGGTGAACATACCCGGCCTGGTAAACTAACAGTTTAAAATGGCCCATAGAAATAGTTTGTGGATAATCTATTTTTATCTATCCATGGATAATTTTCCTATGGTTTATAGATGTTGGTGAACAAAAACCTCCAATTTCACTATGGTTTATAGATGTTTATAGGTGATATATCTATAGTTTATATCCCATATATTATGGAAAAATCAACTATTTCTTAATGTGGTGAACATAACTCCAATGGTTTTAACCACATGAATCTTGACTGGTTGGTTGAGTTGATAATGATTGATAATGGAAACATCAACAATAATGGATGGATAATTTTTATACCCTCTGGTAAACTAACAGTTTGCTATTGAAAATGGCCCATAGAAATAGTTGATTTACCGAAACCTAAAGATAGTGATTGTCCATAGCAAACTGTGAGTTTACCAGAGGGTAACTCCAATTTCACTATGGTTTTTATGATACGCAAATCACTATAGTTTATGTAGGGTTCATGAACCAATTTATAGGGTTCATGTCCAGGATGTTAAGCGTTAAACATGGTGACTCAATGGAAATGTGATGGCAATGATATGGAAAAATTATCTAAGTTTCAGTTTTTGACCATGAAGAAATTGGCGATTTCCTGAGGGATTTCTGAGGGGTGGGAAGTTCTATAAGGTGATTGATCTAGGTGATTTTATGATTTTAATGGTGACTTCATGCAGATTCAATGGTTATTTTATAATGGAGGACTTCCTGCAGAAATTCCATGTAAACCCAATGGCGGATGGGGATGTTTTTTCTTTTTCCGATGGATTCTAATGGCAATACAATGGACATTTTATGGGATGTTATTATGCAATAGCTTGCGATGAGGCCATTTAGGCCATTTAAATCATTGCTATGAGTTGATCATGAAACATGGTGACCATGGTGGTGTGATGGGAATTGAATGAACCACTATGGTGATTCAATAGGATATAATGGTGATTTAACTATTGATTTTTTCAATGTGTTCATGCCGTCAGCCACCGGCTTATCAACTGATTGCAGCCATTGACTGAAACTGTAGTTCCTGAAACTATCATGTTTGCTGGATAGGCTACAACTAGCTACTTGGGGGTCCATCCCACGTAGTAGATACGGTTAAAAAAACAAGTTATATATGGGAATAGCCCCATATATGGGTTGTATATGGGTTGTATATGGGTTATATATGGGTTATATATGGGTTATATATGGATTATAAACCACTTAAGAAGTGAGATGCACATCCAAGTATTCATGGCCCATCTCAATGTAAACTGCCATCAAAATCCAAGAATTTGTGGACGAATGATACCAGAATTGGACCGTTGTCTTTTGGTGCAGACGAGCCCCTTTTTTGTTTGCTGGTAAGAATCATGTTGTTTACTTAGATGGGCCATGGGATTAGCTAAGTGGTTAGAAACTGGGGATATAAACCCTCTATATCCCAATCAAACAATCCATTTACTAACTAGTTAACCAACTCCATGGCCCATCTAAGTACCTTACGGTTTCCCAACAAAACATTGATCCGTTTATCCCAACAAAACCTGCATTGATTACATCCCAGCAGCCCCACTATATTCGCAGTGGATCCCAATGAATCGCATTTCAACCGTGGACTTTCCCACCAACAATCTATTGAAGATCTAGAAACAATTCATATTGCTTTAGTCTTCATTTTGCTGGTTACTCTTCAAGTTTTGCAGGTGAAATCTCCATGTTTGCATTTTTTCTTTGTCAAATCACAAAAAATGTCGTTGGTTACATCCCATTCAACCATCATTAATGTGTTGATTATGTCCCCTTGGAATCATTGGTCATAAACCTTGGTCAATTCTCCATGCTTGCATGGTTTTCCAGCATTTTCCACTGACATCCGACTCAAGCTGAGCCCATTTGGTTAAATCCCATGAAACGACCATATTTGTTGGTTCTGCCCCCTGAAATCTCCAGGGTTCCTGAATATGAATATGTTTCCATTTTTCTTCGTTAAATCCCATCGAAAGCCTATTTTTGGTTGGTCAAATCATGTTAAATCTCACTGAGGCCTCATTTTCGCTCGGTTTTCCAGCACTTTAACGACCCATAAACGACCCAAGATGACCCAAGACTAGGCACTGTTTCTTCACCGGTTCTCCCATCTTTGACACGACCTTCATCGAGAACGGATGCTTCATGGGAGACTTCGCCGGCATCCCGGACAACTTCACGATTCCGGTGCCATGGCGGCCATGGCGCGTTGAGCGAAAGGATGCAGGTTGTGGCTGATGGCCCTTGATGGGAAAATGATTTGAAACTATGTCAAACCCATGACGGATCCATGGTGCTAGTATATATGCTAACATGACTGGGGTATATGGATGGGATCCATGGCACACCATATATAGCAGCACCACGGATACTATGGGAAATGATGGGAAATCACTATAAACTATATAAATATATCATTGTATCATATTATATCTATAACTGTGATTAAAACTGGCAGTTATTTTGAAGACACACGCAATCATGTCAGTTTCCATGCTTCGCACCCGTGCAGCGGCGCCCGCCTCCAAAATAGTGGACATGTCGCTGTGGTCCAAACGGCAAAACAGAAGTGAGTGGACACAGACGTGGTCCAAAGAAGTCGGAGAGTACTATCTCAAAACTCTGCAGGAGACAGGCACAGACGTAACAGAAGTATGGACCCGCAAAAAGACCTTCAAAAAGAAGAACAGTAAAAAGAAGGCCTTCAAGAAGCAAACGCTTTGCCAAGGAGAATGGTGTGAGACACACCAAGTATGCCTGACTAGCCATAGATTACTGATTACCTAAGCTGGTACCAATGATCATTCTGAAAGCTGGGTCACTCATAAAATCCTTCGGTCATCTATAGAATCTATAATTATAGGTTTCATACCAGCCATAAACCATAAATGGAAGGTCTTAGATGGCCCTAGATAACATAACATATATCTTCCTAGATGCCACTCCCTAGATATCATAAACCCAAAAATTCGCCAACTTCGATATCTAGGAAGGTCCAGTCCAGGTTTTTTCTTGGGATCCAGGTGATGGCGAACAATTTTCGGGATTCGCATCTGATGGGGATCAACCATATCCCCAATTTCACCATTTTTATACTGCTTGGTGGTTTGGAACATTTGGAACATTTGGAACATGAATGGATTATGACTTTCCCATAATATTGGGAATGTCATCATCCCAACTGACTTTCACTCCATCATTTTTCAGAGGGATAGGTATACCACCATAGGTGTGAACCATTCCCAGCCATGGCTGGTTTATGACATTCTTTTACCTCCAAAAATCGAAAAATTGTTCAGGGAAACAAAAGACGACAACACTGCGGGTATACAATCTCCTGTAGATCCAACTGACATGTTTGGGCACTGCTTGTGGATTAGATGGTGACTTAAAGGAACTTAATTGTAACCGGCAAGTTATGGCATCAAGCGTACCATTTTGCAGGGACAAAACATGATGATAGAATGGAATATCGGGCAATGTGGTGCCCAGTTCGTTAGCAGATTGAAACACATAGAGTTTACTGTAGCTTATGGCACCAACTCAGAACTGCGGCACCACCTTCAGTGTGCATATATGTACATAGTCATTTTTTAAATGTATATATTGTGAAATTTAAACGCCCATGTGAAGGGAACCTTCCAAAGCAAAGTTTGATTACCGGAATATTCCCAAAAATAAAACTAATAAGTAATGGCTAGGACAATAACCGTTCCTACCTAGCGTTGTGTTTTCCAAAACGCTCTCCGATGCATTTCCGGTGTCTTTATTTTTGTTTGCCATAGTTACAATGTAGGCCCCCCCAGTTATAAGTTGATTTATAAACACCAGTAACTAGTTCGTTATTTGCGTACCATAAACCATAGTGAAATTGGAGTTATAAACGCACCAACTGAACGCTATCGTAAACGGGGGCACCACTTTGTATAAACCTGTAAAACTTTTATGGCTTCAACTTCTACCCGTCTCCTGCTTTCCCCGATGGGAATTTACGGCGTTGGGAAACCTGGCATCTTTGGAGACTCAAGTGACTTAAGCCTACAAGGTGGTGCCGTCCAGTTGTAAGTTGGTTTATAAATCCCATTAAGTATAGATGTGTATATATATATATACACCATGTAGTTTTTTGCGTACCATAAACCATAGTTATTGGAATCATAACCCAATTAAATAGTTATTGGAATTATAACTCCATTTAATAGTTATAAGTACCATAAACCATAGTTGTTGGAATTACAACCCCATTAAATAGTTATAAGTACCATAAACCCTAGTGGATAATGGTTTTTTAATGGGTGTTTAATAGCTAAATCATCATCATAGAAATAGTTTATAGAACTAGTTTACATAAAACAATGGAAACTCACCATTGCTAATGGGTAAATCAACTACTTCTATGTCCATGTTCAATACATAGCTATGTTAGTTTACCAGATGGTATAAAAATCATATCCACTATTCATCCATCATTGTTGATGTTTCCATTACCAACCATTATTAACTAGGTAAATCATCTATAAATGGCCATTGTCAATAGCTATGTTTGTGTTACCAGAGGGTATTCATTGAAATCAAAGATCGCAGAAATCCTCTATGGATGTGTTGATTGGAAAACTATCCATGGATAGATAAATTTAGATTATCCACAAATGCGAAAATGTATCAGCAAGTGAATACATAACTATCAAGATATTCATAAATATGCCACTGCCATGTTTGATTACCAAAGGCTAAAAGGAACGAGTTTCGTGCATTGGAGCAGTACTGTGACCTACCCGTGTTGATGGTTCGATGGGGATTATACTCCACAACATATTGGGGAGTGATTTGACCTGGATCTTGTGAAACTGTGTTTTTTTACTGGTTGGTGGTTTCAAACATTTTTTATTTTCCATAATATATGGGATGTCATCCTTCCCATTGACTTTCATATTTTTCAAGATGGTTATTGCACCACCAACCAGTTTATATCTCCAGTCGCAAATCCATGACTTGATGAATCTATAGGGCATATGTGTTATCTTTTTGGGGTGATAGTCACTGATAATCCATCATGAGAATCTGGGAATCTTTCTGAAAACATCCAGTAGAATGGAGTCACAGAGGGTTTTGAACACTGTGCATTGGGACACTGTGGTGTTGTGCAGCTTAACATGAGCTTTGTTTGAACTTTACTGTGGATGGTTGCGAAATCCTGCACCACCAAAAGGATGGTTGAAAGCCAAACAAAAAATGGGATGTTTAGCATCTATCAACTGGCGCAGGATTTCATAACCATCCACAGTATTTGTGCAGAACTAGGTATCCAAGTTATGTAGTCTCACCTTCATGGGTTAGATTTTGATTTAGTGTCACCATGTTTGTTGTCAACCCTCTACCGTTGCTTTCATATATTCTGTGACTGTCCTGCGGGAATGCAATAAGTGGTTCATCATCGTTTTACCTATTTGACTTAGATTTGCCACTGTCCGGAATGCTGCGTTTTGCGACAAACTCATTTTCTCAAATCCATTTCATGATGGTATAGGATCCATGTCTGGTATATATGATAACATTTACCATCCATATACCCCAAATGTTAGCATATATACCAGCACCATGGATCCGTCATGGGTACTGGTATACTTTGGACTAGCCGTGGGTATACAAATTTTCACCTCGCTTCGCCCTTTTGCCTCAGCTTCCCTGTGCCCTCCATGGCAGTCATGTGGGCCAACCCACAGGTCGGAACATCAAAAGTTGAGTTTGAAGGGTACCCTCCGGTAATTTAACATAGCTATTGGAAATGACCATTTATAGTTGATTTTCGCATTAAACATGGTGATTTTCCATAGCTATGTTAGTTTACCAGACGGTAATTTGAGTTGACTGAACAACTGACTATGGCCCATGTAAGTGAAGCAACAAAATGTGGTGCCCCAGTTCTGTTTATTGGTTTCTGGGTCAATCTTAGATGGGTACTTTAGTCCTTTAGTCTTTTGATATCAATGGGAATATCTACTTACCACCAAAGAATTTATTTGTTTGCAGGTTTTGTCAACTCTGGGAATGTCAATTGCCACACAACCCACCATGTTTCTTTCTTGTTTATTGTTTTATATTGTTTCAACTCATTAACCAGTCCGAGATACCATCAATCAGATAATACGCATTCTGTTAACCCACCTTTTCAGCCAACTTTGCGAACGACCTGGGAACCCCCCTCGCAATATATCCCATTCCCGATTTAATCCCATGAAATCACCGTTTCCGGTGGTTTCTTATACTGGAAATAGAGATGTTCTTGGTTTAATTGCATGAAATCATCATTTCGGTACTTTGGTTGATTAAATCCTTTCACAGCTACTTATTGTTGATGAAATTCCAGGAAATCACCATGTTTCGTTGGTAAAACAAAATCCACAAACATCACACATTGCCGTTCAGAGTACCAACCCTACAATGTTGGGCCCCCTGGTTAAAAGTTGGTTTATAAACCCTATGAACTATCGTTATATCCAGCATAAACCATAGAATTCAGCCACTTATGTTCGGCAACTGAACGCTTTTTCGAACGGGGACCCCATCCTGTAGCTATGGCAGCTCCAGGTCTTCTTCGAGCGCACTGCTGGCATTCTCTTCTGGCATAAGCCGACCGAGTGGCTGGTGGGCTCCAGCGTGCTGGAAGGAAACCATGGAAATGGCAGGCGCCGGACAACGCAAAGCTCGGAGTGATGGGATTGTTGGGAGATTTTGGGATGGAAACCAATCTGTTGTGCTTGGAAGGGTTGCAGATATAGATTTTCCAGTTTATATGGTTAGTATAGATAAATATGTAAATCTACCAAAACTCATCTGTGCAATTGTTCATCTCTCATCTGGCCAGCTGGCTCCACACCCGCCGCTTTAGCGAGCCTATTTTCGACCCTCCGGAGCCGCAAATCATTGGCAAAACACAGCGTTTCGCGACTTTGCTACCTTTCCCCGCGCCTGCATCTTCTGTCTTCTGACTCTTTTTCTTCCCTGATCTTCTTTCTTCTTCTCTTCTCTTCTCTTCTCTGACTCTTCCCACCTCTGCTTTTCATCTGTCCATATTGTCGGAAGTTTGACTTCTAAACTTCCTTCGAATATTGACAATACCTATTGATTATTTTGATAGTACCTATGATACAATGATAATACTGATAATTTTGATCAATATAATGCTATTGTCGACAGATTTTCGTGATATTTGTTTCAGATATTGATCAATAAATACCCTGTGTATTTTCATTTCAATTATTACTAGCCCATGGTTTTGACAATAGCTATGATATTAATCAATTTAATGGTATTGCCCAGTTACTATAATGATAAGTTATAACTGCTATATACCCATTATATTCTCTCATTTCCATATTATAATAGCTATTCAATAGACGATTTAACGCACAAAAATGGAGGTTTTATGGGATTTAGTGTGATTTATACTTAACTTAGACAAAGATAGAAAATAAAGACCCCTAAATGGTCCTAAATCAGTGACTTTCTATATTTTCTACTGATTTAAATTAGTGGAGGGAAGGATTATCCTTGATATTGTCAACAGCGTGGGATCTTTCAAAAAACGTCAAATTGTGGACTATGATTATATGAAGGGGTCTGCATACGCTGAAATCGTGACCTCAGCAGCTTTATGATATACCCATATATACCCTATCATGGTTATAAACAATTATACAGTGATGTCAATGATGGGTTACACATGGCTCTATTTATTTGTGTATATTGTTTGGGATGACTACTAGTGTGGATCTTCCATCAGGAATATCATCCCAAAATGACACCCATTTTGATGGGCTTCTACGGGTGATATGAGCGATCAGACAAAAGAAAACCATAGTGGTTTTCACTGCATGTCACATACTATTACTATAACTTATATTTCATGTGTACATATACATATATATGCCAAGCCAAGACAAAACGCCAATATATACATATACATTCCTCCTAGAAAATCATGGCAAGCTTGTGACAAACATGCAATGTGAGGCCCCGTTTACGATAGCTAAGTTGGTACAAATAACTCTAATAACTATGGTTTATGATATTTTCCTATAGTGAATAAGGTTTATAGATCAATTTATAACTAGGGGGCCCACATTGTGATCGAGAGCACTGGTTGTCTTGTTTCGCATTTGTTTATGTCGTGTCTACTGAATATAGCATATGTGATCACATAGCAATAGTTTGTTTCAGCTCAGTTTTGTTCCACTTCAATTTGCCAGTTGGACGGGGCTACATGATGGATGCGACATGTCAAGGGGGGTTGTAACCAAAAAGGTGCATCTTGTCATGGATGGGGTTGATACCTCGCGATGTTGATGCAAACAACTATGATGACTACAATGTGGGGCCCCGTTTACGATAGCTAAGTTGGTGAACATAACTCCAACAACTATGGTGCATGATATTTGTAACTATCGTTAATGGGCCCTACTGGGGTTCATAAACCAACTTATAACTGGCGGGGCCACTTTGTAGGGTTTATCAGGGATATATCTACAGTTCCATGGGAACATCAACCGCTTGAGAACTTCGTAGCTTAATGAGGTTTTGTGAAACCAAGCTCCAGTTGAATGCGCAGAGTTTTTGGCTCCTACCCGCAAGATGTGCTATTTGTCGTATCTCCCCGCAATGTTTAATCGGGAAAAATACAAAGATGAGGAGAACGTCGGCATTTATTTTGTTACCCAAGATATAACGATGAGTTACTTGGTGGTTCCTTTCTTGTTACAGAAGTTGCAACTTAGTTGCGGCACTTGTCGTGGTTGGAGAAGTTGCAAGTGAAGTTAGTGAAGTTATGGTTTAATTGTAATTTAATATTAGCCCTTAAATTCTCTAAGTTTAACTTACTGAACTTGTAACTTCTTTAAGTTGTTTTGAAGCTAGAAAAGCTTTAAGAAAAAGCTTATTTTATTTTTATTTGCTACAAAGGCTGGCGTGAAGAGAGATCAATTTGTTTGGTTTTGATGCTTTTCTCTAGAATGTTTTGTTATAGCTGAAGATGATTTTGCATCCCCAATGGGCCGCAGTAATGGTACTTCTCTATAGATGGGAAGTGGCTGCTCATTGGGCCGCCTTGAAACTAATCCCAAGGGCTTGAAACTAATTATTGACCGTTTCATTGAAACCAGACCTCAGTGAACTGAACTTTAAATAATTACGGTACCATTGACAATTAGCTGGGCCGCCTTCGAATCTAAGATTTTTGAGTCTGAAGATTCAACTTTGAAAAAGTATAAAGTGAAGTGGCTTTGCAATGATAGTTTTGTGATGCAGCGGATGTGCAATAACAAATTTAATTTTGACAGATTTGGAAAGCTTTTCGCTCTGCATAGTGCAGTATGATTCGAAAAAATCAACAGAAAAAATATTAGTAAAAGGTGAAAATGTTACACGCAGTTATACATTTTTATACATTGTTATACATTTTGATGTTCCAGTTATACATGTATAACTTCGTTTCTGTTTGAGTTATACATGTATAACTTGATTTCTTTTTGAGTTATACATGTATAACTCGAACCCCGTTTTAGTTATACATAGTTATACATGTTTATACATTTTTATACATTTGGTTTTTTATTTTGTTTATAAGTTTTTTTTATGGTTTTTGATAATCAAGTACATGTGAAACGAGTTGATTTACATTCACAGCTTTGTCATTTTTTGAAGGTGTGTTTGAATTTGTGATTGGAAAATGTTGGGCTTGTGATTTGAACTTGGCTTGAAACATTTGTTAAGGCGACATCTATCACGCAAACATTGCTGCATTTTTCCAGCATCGACAACGACATCAAAACTGACTTCACCGTTTGATGTAGTCCAAGTCAGCATCTCACTTCTGCTTCTTGTTCTTCTTTTTTCTCGGTTTTCTTGTCCATGGTTTGGGCCATGGTTTGGTCGGTCTGCTGTGGGTGTCAGGGGCAGCATCCTCGAAACGAAAAGCCAAAATCGCAATGTTTTGCGAGTTCCAAAAAAATTGCATTCTAGCAACATATAACATCTCTCCACGCCAAGCCGTTAAGGAAGAGAATAGAAAAAAGTATGATTTTTTAACATTGAAAAAGATAACTTCCCTAAGTTACTTGTAAGTTTTTTTCCGGTTATTTTTTAACATCATTGTAAAAAACTTAGCAGAACTTAGCAACTTCTTCACGTCCAATAACATACATATAACTCATCCAAATTCAGCTCCCGAACTTACAAAACTTACGACATTTACAAGGCTGTTACACCCAACTTGTAACCCAGCTGCAAGTTACATGCAAGCTCTATTAGCAGAAAGGAACCACCAAGTAGGAGTTGGTTGCAAGAAAGCCGGCAGCGTTCAAAAGCCGGGAAAAACACGCGTAGTTGAACCAATGCCACAGCGGCAGCTGGGCATTCCAAGATGTCATGGTCGGGCTCTCTCTCAGGGTCAGGTATTATTGACAAGCGCGGGCATGAGCGGGCATTGTTTAGAGCGGGATTTGTCGCCATGGAAACAACCGTCCAGAAATCACATGAACGTGCCAGTCGGATACAGCTTGCACATTACAGCAACCTCAAAACCTGAAATGGTGTATCCCAAAAGGGCCTTAAATCAGGATGTGGATGTATGAGAATTAGTTCATCAACAGACATGCTGTGTTAATGGGATTTGATTGGGATCTCATGGGTACGTTGAAGGGATCGCATGTATATAGCCATACTGACGAGGCAGTGCCCCAGTTTGTTAACTGGCTCATAGCCAGGTTAACCAGGACCAACATTTTCCCCTGGGGGTCATTACCTTGCAAACCATGATGTGAAAACACGTTTACGAAGTTCGAAACCCGCAAGCTGGGATCATCCTACGGCACTGTGTACCAATTGGTGAAGTAACTATAGTTACAGACCAGTTGCGATTCGTTGGACCCTCCAAGTAGGTAAGTTGGCTCATTTTACCATGAAATAACTGCTGGTTTTGTGGTGGGTATTGACATCTATTAAGTAAATTACCTGTTGAATTTATGGTGGATATGTACGGAAATGTTTGAAATATCAGCAGTTGGACGGCTGAAATTAAACCACCAAACACATCATGACACATCTATACTGAAAAATGTTCTCCTAGTAGTTCGGAAGCGCCAGTTTTATTTTGTTATATTGGGATCCTTCGATGGGTTTGATCGGTAGGGAACCATCCGTCGTGGGTGAGTTTGGTCAACCAGCAACTCAGGGTATCACCTATTTAGATGGGCCAGCATTTTTTTTATCCCAGTACAGCTTCATGGGTATTGATAACCGCTATGGTTTTAACATGATCTCAAGGTACTAACCGGTCAACCAACTCCAGAACGCCAGTGTAATGCGTTAAAACAATGATGGAAGAGCTTCAGAAACTAAGCATGGTGCTACAACGGACCACTGACAAGTTGAATCAGTAATGGAGGGCCCAAGGGTCAACCTTGGTTTGGTCAATATTTTTGGATCCACAACGGAGAACAGAAATTCATAAACAGTATATATATATATATGTATATATATATATATATGCATACATATATATATACACATTATGTACTAAAAAGAAAATGCGCACATACGCAATTATCCACCATTGGCGGCTATGATAAAATGCAGGGATATACGCCAGTGCAAAAATTGTTATATTCGTTTGGCGGAGGAGGTGGTGACACAACTGTGGGTACTCCATCAGGTGGAATCACCTCAAAATGACACCCATCTCCAGTTTGGTGTCTTCGGGGCAAATCAGCGAGGAGTCAGAAGGAAAGAAAACAGCTGGCTGACATCTATCGGGTGTTACACTGCCCCGTATATTTGGGATTATCATAAAGAGATCGTTTTCTTGGAGTAAGATGTTCCTCTGAGAATTCACCATGTCAGCTGTAAGCTCATGTCAGCATAGAAAAACACGGGGAAAACTGTTGACTATAGATTAGAAACATCGGTTTACCCATTAAAAACCGTGGTGAGCAAGGGTTGTCTTGTTTCTCATTATTTTATGTTGACTCTACTGAACGTAGGGAACGTGATCACATAGTAACAGTCTGTTCAGATTGTTTCCAGAGTACAGGGTTGCTCCGGTAAAGTTTAGGAAGACATGTTCCACAGGGTTGGAACCAGCTTTTGAGCTTCAGCCATTTCATCATTGTTTGAGAGCGTCACGAGGAAAAGTTCCAGACATGGAAGTTTTTCCGAGCTTAATATCACATTAGTCCCATGAGCCGGAAAATCCTTCACGAGCAAGATCTGTTTAACATTCTACATGTCCGTCTGCCTGAAGAAACGTAACCGTTATTAGCGTTAAGTACGCCCTGCTTAGAGGGGCCCCACCCCTGGGACGTCCATCTTGGGTCAACCAGGCTCAGTTTTGAATGAAACTTGCAAAAAAACTCTGCAGAGTTCTCTGTCCCTTGTGGCGAGTTGTGGGGAACGTTCAACCGTGAGAAGTATTTGATATGTGTGCTGTGTCAACTTTTGCTCTATGGCCAGTACTTTCGCAATCCCAACCCTTTATATAAGTGCTGGAGTGTGCATGTGAAATACCCGTTTGATGGGGTCTGATGGTGGACGTAATATGCCAAGGGACTTTATAGCCAAAATGCGAGAATAAATCACCATGTACAAAAAATCGCGTGCAGTAGCCGAAACATCATCATGAACTCTAATATCAATAGATAGAAGACAGTCACCTTTATGAGCTGGAAAAGTGACAAACCGATGTTCGTGTCGAGCAAACCTGAAGACCCGCAAGTGAACTGCAATGCGGGGCCCTCATGATAGCTAAGTTGGTTTAGTTCACTGCAGTATCTGTTGGTTTGGTGGAAAAATGGATTGATACTTTGTGCTCGTTTGGCTCACTTCACTACAATAACTATAGGTGTTGTCAGGGATATGCATGCACACATACGTACACATACATACACATACATACACATACATATACATACATTTACATACACATACATACACATACACATACATACACATACATACATTTACATACATTTACATACACATACATACACATACATACACATACATACACATGCATACACATACTTACACATACATACACATACATACACATACATACACATACATACACATACATACACATACATACACATACATACACATACATACGCATACATACGCGTACATACACATACATACACACACATACACATTCATACACATACATATACATGCATACATGCATACATGCATACATGCACCCATCCATTCTTCCATCCATTCTTCCATCCATCCATCCATCCTTGCATCCATCCATACATACATGCATGCATGCATGCGTACATACATACACACACACACGCACACACGTACACATAAATAAATAAATAAATATATATATATACATACAATCAGATGGGATTACAAACTACTTCGGGGTGCACGCTGATGGCAGTGTGCAAGCCATCCGAAATTTCCCACCAGACTGCTTGGATATTCACGTGCGACCCAGCTGCAACTTGTGCCAGTTGTCGTATCTCCCAGCGATGTGTATGCTTTTGTTGTTTGGTTAAGACGGGTCCAAACATCAGCGGGTAAAAATGAAGATTAGGTGAACATTGGCATCATATCTGTCAACGTAGGGCGGAAAAGACTTGACCCAAGATATCGCAATGAATTTGGGGTTCCCTTCAAGTAACCCGGCACCTTTCGCAACGCGTTTTTGCCCCCGCCTTCGAAACTTACAAAGCCACATGTAGCTGTAGCTGAAACAATGACATTTCTGGAGCTGGGAATTCCAAGTTGTCATGGATGGGTTCTATCCCA